TGGTAGGATTCACTTCAATGCTTGCTATCAACGAGCACATTTGACCAATTCTGGAACCCCGGGCGAAGGATGCTTGCGACGCATCCGCCGCTATCAGTTGCTTCGGAGAGAAGTCTCGGCCGTCAATATTGGGCTCATCCTCGCTCGTTCTTGTCCCTCTGCCCCCTTCACGCCCCCTCTCTTGTGGCCTCCTGGGAAAGTCATTGGTTCTATCCGTACAGATAGTGTAGAATAGCCCTTGCAAACATTGCCTCTCGGCCGTGGACCGTGGATGCTTTGACCTACGTCAATACGCAATAAGGTAATGCCTCCCAGACGTACAGCAACACTATTGCCATCGAGCCCACTCCTGCCCGCTATTATAACTCGTCGTCCATCGTTCGATTCCCTTCTAGGTGGCATAGCACATGTTGGTTCTCGTCCTTTGCAAACGGGTATCCCACCGCTTCGGCCTGTCTGCCGTCTGTTCCCATTGTCCAACGGTCCAACGTTCCATTTACTCATCTCTGTCTCCACGCGTTCACCCCGCTGTTGTCGTTGGCAGAACCGCGAATTAGATCTGCGAGGTCTTATATTTGAAGCACTTCGTCCCATCTCTGTTAATTGTCTCTTCCTGCTTCCCATCCGTCCATTGGCAGCACTCGCGTCTGACCTCACGTGGTAACCATGTCTTCGATGCGTTCCCTCTTGACGGCGGCTTTGCTGTCTGTCGGCCACTTGGCTGCGGCCCAGACTATCGTCGTCGACGGCCAAGAAGTTGGTGAGTATCCTGCCGTCTATTCGAACTTTCAAAGACTGAAGTAAATGACTTATATGTCCTAGCCGCCGACTCCTCGACCGTTGCTCCGGCCGCTGAGGTTGCTGACGTTTCCATCGCCAGCACCTCTGCCGGCCTTTCTGACGGGGAAAAGCTTCAACTCACCGATGCCGTCCTTGCCAACCTCACAGCGCTCCAGCTGTCCAACATCTCCCTGTTTGGCTTCGAGGACGGATCTTCGGTCGAGAAGAGATCGCTCTTTGGCCGATGCAAAACCTACCCCGGAGACCTCCTGTACCCGATCGGCCTCGTCTGGGACATCTTCAACCTCCTTCTGGGCGGTGCTCTAACCAAGACGATCCCCGAGGCCTCTGTCTGCTACGATGATTTCGGCAACTATGATCAGGCAAAGTGCGACTTCTTGACCGCCAACTGGGTCAACGGATCATACTACCACACCGAGGACCCCACGGCCATCAATGCCGTTCTCTTTGAGGGCCTCAACTGCATGCCCCCTACCATCAATGTAGGCGAGACCAACTGCAAGGTCGGCGGCCTGCCTTCCTACGTTGTCGAGGCCACCACTGTTGCCCACGTCCAGCTGGCTGTCAACTTTGCCCGCAATCTCAACCTCCGCCTTGTCGTCAAGAACACTGGCCATGATTTTGGCGCGAAGTCTACCGGCTACGGTGCCCTGTCCATCTGGACACACAAGTTTAAGAACATCGACTTTTACGAGAGCTACCAGCAGGACTCATACAGTGGTCCTGCTTTCAAGCTCGGTGCCGGCGTCCAGGCGTACGAGATCTACGAGGCTGCCAACAAGTATGGTGTCACCGCCGTCGGCGGCGAGGGCCAGACTGTGGGTGTCATGGGCGGTTACGTCCAAGGCGGCGGACACAGCCCCATGTCCGGTCTGTACGGCATGGCGGCGGACAATGTTCTCTCCTTCGAAGTCGTCACTGCCGATGGTCGCTTCGTCACAGCCAGTGAGTCCCAGAACTCTGACCTATTCTGGGCCATCCGCGGTGGTGGAGGCTCCACGTACGGCGTCGTCACCTCTGCTGTCGTCAAGGCACAGCCCAAGATGAACATTACTACCATGACCTTTGCCTTCTCCAGCGGTGACAACCTGACCACCGACCAGTTCTGGACCGCGCTGCGCTTCTACTTTGACGGCTTCGTCGAGTATGCTGTCGACAACGCCAACTACGGATACTTCCGCATCCAGAACCTCGGCACCTCCTTCGCCTTCGACATGGGCCCGTGGTGGGCACCCAACATGACAAAGACCGAGCTCGCTGCTCTCGCGGCTCCCCTCTTTGACAAGTGGGCCGCGATGGGCCTCGTCGTCGAGCCCGTTTACACCGAGTATGACAACTTCTACTCGGCCTGGCAAAACTCGTTCCCGCTGGAGCCCTGGGGATCCAACGCCATCCGCCAAGCCAGCCGTCTCTTCCCCAGAGCCAACTGGGAAGACGAGACCAAGCTCAACGCCACCTTTGAGGCCATCAAGTCCGTCTCCGAGGAGGGCGGCTACATCGTGGCCTTCAACATGATGGCGGCGCCCAAGACGGGGTATCCCGACAACGCCGTCAACCCGGCGTGGCGCGAGGCCGTCATGCACTGCATCACCGCCGCCCTCTGGGACCCGACCGCCAACGAGACCGTCATCAAGACGGCCAGCGACAAGCTCACGTTCGACTGGATGCAGCGCTGGCGCGACGTCTCTCCCGGCGCGGGCGCGTACATGTCCGAGTCGGACTACATCGAGCCCGACTTCACCCAGGCCTTTTGGGGTACAAAGTACTCAAAGGCCCTCGAGCTCAAGAAGAAGTATGACCCCAACGACGTCTTTTACGCGCAGAACGGCGTCGGGTCTGAGAGCTGGGAAATGTCGGAGATGATTATGGGCAACTTGCCTTCGCAGAACAGCAAGTTGTGCCGCAAGCAGTAGTGGATTTCTGTTTTATAGTGTTGTGTAACCAAGCCGTCGGGGATGTCTTAGGCGGTGTTCGAACTTCGATGTATATATTGCCGCTGTATATAAGAGTGGCTGGCTCGATTAGCTGCTTAGACCTTAGATCGCGGATCGTGAGATGATCTCATGACGTATTAGAATGGCGAACTTTACGTTCTTACTTACCTCTTCGAACCTGGCTTTTGATATAGTCCCATAAGCATGTCTTATTCCGATGAAAGTGACTATGATTTCATCCCACGCGATTCTCCTCGCAAGGCAGACGCAAAGCGGATCGCCAGAGTTAAGTCTTGTCCGGGCTGTGTTGGGTGATAAACCGGACTTTATTGATTGCCAGTGACTTTGCCGGTTCTGAAAGATCAAACTCTTGGTCTCAGTGTACTTATTCGTCGAGGCATTTCAAGAAAAGTACAAATGGCCAAATTGACAATAGTGTATTATGTGTACAAGTCACATAGCTTCCACGTATAATTAGACCTGCGGCTCTTCGTCTAGGATAGAATGACAATTAGTTTAGAAATAGTATAGAAACAACACCGAAAACCTCCATAGTGTAAGTCCATCAGCCTATCAACAATCCAGCCAAAACTGACGAGAGGATGGGTCACGAGAAAGGCAATCTAACTGAGTTAGAGCCCCTTACGATTCGTATGATGAGTTTCATATTATTACTCATGTCCATGAGAACCGAAATGATCGAGGACTTAGCCTGTAGCGAGGAGATGGAATCGCTGCCGCAAGCACCGCTGACGAATGACGAGGTTTGAGCAGCCATACTCTCCTCGGCACAGGGGATAGATGACTTACTGGCGATCGTTTAGCAAAGGCCATGGCCAGAGCTCGGCGAGCACATTTTGAGACTTTTTCGGTGGTCGCTGGAGCTCGGCAGGATTCCCGACAGCTGGAGGACCCCCAGAACTGTACCCTTGGGGAAAGCCAGACTATTGTGTAGCCAAGGCGTACAGACCGATCTCTCTGCTCTCAACGCTTGGCAAAGCAATAGAAGGTCGCCATGCAGCTGTCAATTTGCCCCGCCATCACCGTGCCACCACCGATTTCACCTTTGGATCAATTTGTTGCTGCTGGTGGTAGATGGTCGCTCCAGGCTGAGCCTCATTCCTCGCTTGCACTGCCCCCGCCTCAGCCTGAGCTGACACGCTGATAACATCCATCTTTCGCCAACTCACCTTTCTGACGGTGCTGAACAAAATCATGAACTAACCTCAGCAGCAAGATCCCCAAAAATGTCCTTCGGCTTTGCTATCGGCGATTTCATCGCGGTGCTCGGCCTTTTCGAGCGGATTGCAATCGAGCTTAGGAATTATCGCGATGCTCCAGCACGCTTTCAGAATCTGATTGTTGAACTCGACTTGCTACGCAGCACCCTGAAGCATGTGCTCCAGGCCCAAACGGACGACCAAAGCGATGAGCTGATTGTCGAGCGTATACGGGCCATAGTCACCCATTGTCATCAGCCCTTGCTAGCCTTCGTCGACAAGCTGCGGTCTAAGGAGAGGTCTTTGGGTCACAATCGGACTGCGCGGCTCAGCGATGTAGGGATTCGGATGAAATGGTCCATGGTCACTCAGAAGGACGTTGACGAACTGCGCAAAATTCTGCTTTCCGAAATGTTAGCGATCAACATGCTTTTGAGCGTACAGCACCTGTGGGTATATGTCACAACAAGAGTTGTATGAGGTCTCACAGCTTTCACAGGACATCAATGAGAAGACTGTCATCTCGTATGATAGAGTCCCCACAGAGCCTTTTGGCTATTGATGACAAGACCTCGACAATGTTGACCTTAGTCCAAAGCATACCTGGTTCCATTGCTGATCTGCATCTGACCGTTACTCGGCATGGAGAACAACAGACCAAGCGAGGTATGCATCTGATGCAGGCGGTCACAAGGCTCTCATCGCAGGTCACCAAGATTTTCCATCAAGGCGACCACACCTTGCAGATGATCCAGCACGGCGGTGCTCAAATCACACGAGTTATGGCACGTGTATCTTCGATCTTGAGCGATCTCAGAAAACTCATGTACCTGTATGTACTCTCCACTTTCTCTTATCTAACGAGAGGCTTAATGTCATGTTCCCAGGTTGTCAAAGTGTTCGAAGGATATGCTTGCGGCTATTCAGCAGAACACGTAAGTAACCTGCGTTCCACCTTTGTGGCAAATACTGTCGAAGCAGTCTTGACATGGATGGCATAGCCGTTTGCTTCTCGACATGGCTGCTCATATGAAGAGAATAGCCCGAGCTATTGAATCTATCCCCCTGCATCTTTCGCTTGACATCATACGACTTGATGATGCTCTCGGGGAGAGCTGGGGACTGCCTATGCAGGCGTGTCAAACATGGCAGGTACAGTAAAGATTCTCCTTTTGTAACCTGGCAATACATGGACGCTGATCGTGACGAAAAAGTCGTTCAAAAACCTACTGACAGTAGTCGTCTACGCGAATGAACGCCCGGGTCTGAACCATATAGTCCAGGGCCAATTCCAAGTGACTCTTGCAAAGACGGGGCGTAAGATTATGGAAAATAATCAATGGACGTCAATAGTCAAAGCCGGTGCCCATCTACAGCAGGCCATGATTGTTCCGGAACTTCCTTATATGGAAGGTGCTTGCCCACATTCTGATTGTGCTGGTACACTGGTGAGCGAGATTGGCGAAATTGACAAGAAATGGTAAGTGAATAGTTTCAGCCTGACACTTCTGAATGCTGACATGACACAGCTCTACGTGTGGCCGAATCACAAATACGGAGAGGCTGGTCCCCCAACTACTTCGAGTTTATCCTGAGACATGGTTGGATCCAATATTGCCTAACGAAGATGAACCACCTCCTGCCCAGACCAGCGCCCAACAGACACGTCCACACCATTCGACGAGATCCATACGACCGATCATAGATCACACACACCTGTTTCGCCGTATACAAATCTACGAGCGACAGCCTCCTCTTTCATCTAAGGAAGAAGCATACGAGAAACTAGCAGAGGATGCATCCCACTTTCAAGCTAATCTATATCTTGGATGGCATGCTCTTCGCATTAACTCAAATGATGAAGCCATTCGTCGCCTGAAACAGGCTGTTGCTGCAGGTATGCTTATCAATTGGTCGTGCAAAGAACAGGGAATTGACAGGCTCAACATAGACGACGGCGACTGGGTTACCTTCTATCTTCTGGCGAGGGCTTTCCTGGAACTGGATCGTCGAACAGAAGCGCATGACGCACTCCAGCAAGCCGTATATCGCAACGGGCGTGTTCCTGACATCTGGATTACTGTGGCTATTCTGTTCTTCATGGAAGACCAGTACCGTGATAGTTTAGATGCGCTGGCAAGAAGTGTTCGATTTAATGCTCATACATGGGAGTCGTGGTATAATCTTGGGGTCCTGGTACGTTCATGTTGAAAATTATTGAAGCAGCTAACCGGTATAACTAGTATGACCATTGCAGACAACCAACTGATGTCCTAGACGCTCTTGGTCGAGCCTCTGAGCTGAATCCTTCTCACCTTGAGAGCCGTCGTCGAATAGAAGAGTTGAAGGGATTGCAACCAGGCGCTTCTGGGGAGCATCTCAACATCATGATCCACTGTGAATTGCTCCATATATCAGAACCGATACCCGTATTCATCGAGGATGAAAGTATCCATGTCAATCCGCTCAATCTCGAAGATGAGGAAGAATGGCTCACCGAGAGGGAAGGAAACGGAGATGCGGGCGATGTGTTTGAGAGCGACGATGACGATGTTCTCCACTATATCATGAGCGACGCAGAAGTTTAAGCAGCCATTTTCCAACGCCGTTGCACCAACTTCATCCATCGCAGTGAACCTAAGCGTACTTCTTTCTCAATCACACACTCGGCTTTACCGTCCAAAACTTCATCTACACGGCTTGTCAATGCTCGCGTAGCAAGAGCAGCTGTGAACGAGGCAATATCAATATTAATATGCCAATGATGGCACGGCACACCCGTCTGCATTATTCTCACACGCACGCTAGAAGGCTTCATTCGAAGCGAACCTTGGTCGTTGACGTACGAGCCGTCCTGGAACCTATCCAGGGTTCCCAACATTTTTGTATTCCACGTCCAAAAGAATGTTAGCTTTCAGGAAGATGCCACAGTCTGGAGACAGAGGCATAGGTCATTTCATGTCAACATAGACCTTCAGACACCCCTGAAGCTTTCAAAGCTTGAGTTGCATCCGGAAAATCAGTGGGACGATTTCCACTCACCTTTCATCTCCGGCAACCCTGATAAATCTTATGCTGCCAGGCTGAATTTCCTAATCCGCGATACTAAGGGGAACTTTGAACAAGCCCTTGCTCTGACTCTTACGTTGGGATGGGCCAGTTCGCATCAACAGCCCTTCGCCGTACTTTACGGTTCTCAACGGTTGGTGAGCACTGACAGGCTACTAATGATCAGAAACGTTCTCCCGGATGACTTCCCGGACCTTGTCAAAGACGATCTCGACTGGGGCAGTTCGCATGAAGAGACATTTGAAAAGGCACTTTCGAGCATCTGCACAAACCCTCAATTTCAGGCTACGGAGGTAGAGTTCGTCACCAAGAAGATGACTTACGGGCAACCTGGCACTCGCATGGTTAAAGATTACCGTGCCACTTTCAGGGTCGAATTAGAGACGCACAAAGACCACGACGGTATCATCACCTATCATGCTTCTCTGTCTGGCAAGACCTAAAGAGTGGAGGGTCGCAATGTGATGTTGGCTTTGAAATCGACATGATCAGATCCTGCTTGATGGTAGGGAGTTGAGTGTTCTATATCGCTCTATTCCTACTAGGACTAAGTTTCCTATGCACATCATATTCTGAGGGCGCAATATATTTAGATATCACTGTAGGAGTTAAGGCCACTGACGTTATTTTTAAGGGACAAATTCACACGATCTGATGGACTTGAATGACTACTAGACAATATTGTAGTCTTGGCCACCGATTTAATTTCCTTCCACGTACAGTGTGCTGTAATTCCGCCTTTGGTCGGTTAAATATACTAAAGGAAATGTATGATGTCCGAAGATGAAGCGCCCAAGAGCCATCAAACGGTGCAAATATAAACAGCCACATAGGCAAATGGGAAGTTGCGCGGACGAGTCTCTGTTACTCTGTCACTACTGAGGCTATCCAGTACCGCTCGTCTCTCTCCTGGAACCAGAAATGCCTAGAGGTGCGTGACTCACAACTCCTCGACTGTTGGCGGAGATGAGTGGTTGTGATGAAAGCTAACAGGAGGCTGACGGGAGCGAGCGACGTGAAGGTACGTACTGACCACCAGACCCGCTTAATTACCACGCTAGTCCAAAACGGAGCAGGCGCATAACCTGCCTTGCGAATTTCAAGGTGACATCTCTCGAATTTCTATCCAAACACAGCTTCACGAAGGCAGCCGATCATCATGGCCTCGATCGCAGCATCACTGGCCTCGGCCCTCCCGAAACCCAAGTACACTGGCGAAGATGAGGAAGCTCCCTCACGCGCTCTGCAACGCGGCCCCCGCATCGTCGGTGCCGGCCAGCTGGACGAGACGCAAATCGTGTTGAAGCGATCGGGCCCTCCACCATACCAACAGCGAGCAGGATGGCGACCGCGAGGACCCGAAGACTTTGGCGACGGTGGCGCGTTCCCCGAGATACCGATCGCTCAATACCCGCTCGACATGGGAAAGAAGGGCGCGACGACCAGCAACGCGCTCGCCATCCAGGTCGACGGCGAAGGCAAGCTCGACTACGGGGCCATTGCGCGTCAAGGCCACGCCGAAAACCGAATCGTTCATACCTCGTTCAAGGATCTGATTCCCCTTCGCCAGCGCGCCGACGCGGGCGAAATCGACCTGAGCCGACCGAGTCAAGAGGAGGTGGAAGCGACGGCGGAAAAGACGAAGAATGCACTGGCAGCGCTGGTCAGTGGTGCCGTGGCCGCCCAGAAGCCGAAGACACTCAGTGTCGGAAAGCGAAACGATCCGACATTTGTGCGATACACGCCGGCAAATCAGATGGGCGACAACTCGACCAAGCAGGACCGCATTATGAAGATTGTAGAGAGGCAAAGGGACCCGATGGAGCCTCCCAAGTTCAAGCACAAGAAGATTCCCCGTGGACCACCGAGCCCGCCACCTCCCGTTCTGAGATCGCCGCCACGAAAGCTGACGGCAAAGGACCAGGAGGATTGGCGCATCCCCCCGCCGGTCTCCAACTGGAAGAACCCGAAGGGTTTCACTGTCCCCTTGGACAAGAGATTAGCGGCCGATGGACGCGGACTCCAGGACGTGGCGATCAACGACAAGTTTGCTCAATTTTCCGAAGCGCTGTACGTCGCAGACAGGCACGCCCGCGAGGAAGTCAGACAGCGAGCAGCAATGCAACAGCGTCTGGCAGAGAAGGAGAAGGCGCAAAAGGAGGAGAATCTCAGAATGCTGGCCCAGAAGGCTCGCGAAGAACGGGCCGGCGGCGGCAGACGGGACTCACGATCACGGTCACGGTCACGCAGCTACAGCGGCTCAGACTCGGAAGACTCAGACGGTTCGGACGATTCTGAGATCCGGGAGAGAGAAAAGGCACGAAAGGAGCGCATGCGTGAGGAGGAGAGGAAGCTTCGGCAGTCACGTATGGGTGCCGAGAGGAGAGTGCAGGTCATGGCAAGAGAGCAAAACCGCGACATCTCGGAAAAGATTGCTCTGGGTCTTGCCAAACCTACCCAGTCCAAGGAAACCATGTATGACTCGAGACTTTTCAACCAGTCCAGCGGCTTCGACAGCGGCTTCAACGAGGACAACCACTACGACAAGCCGCTTTTCGCCGCACAAGAAGCCATTGGCAGCATTTATAACCCGCGAGCCAACATGGACGATGAGGACGACGAGGCAGCAGGTGATAAGGAAATGGCCAAGATCCAAAAGACCAGTCGGTTCGGCGAGGCTTTGGGTAGGGGGACGTTCAAGGGCACAGAAGATGTCGAGGTTAGTATACCGTTTCGAACGAGAGTAAAGGGCTGTGCTAACAAACATTTTCCACAGGCGAGAGAGGGACCAGTGCAGTTTGAGAAGGATGCCGGGGACCCCTTCAACGTGGACAAGTTCCTGTCCGAGGTGGAGCAAAACTCTTCGTCAAAGAGAGGTTATGGTCTTCAGGACGATGATTCTCGGCAGCCGAAGCGGGCGCGAGTAGACGAGGATGATGATTAAACTAGGCCGGTTTTCTTATTGTTTCCATATAGCCAACCAAAAAAGCTTCTTGGCTTCATTGTACGACAAAGTGGGGGACGTTTTTTGGACTGGCATCGAGATGGGCGCCCTTATTCGGGGCATCGGAAACAGCCTCGCAAAATGCAAAATTGCAAGGCATAATGCAGAAATTGCAGTACATGCACAAAATCGATTCAAGCCCAAGAGACGTGGTGAAGAAACATTGGATGATTGCGTAGACTTCGTGGGCCCTCTATTGTGTGTTTTAGGGCGGAAATTCTCTTGACTTTTTGGCTTGAAGCCGACTGGATGAGTTGGTGTAGCGACGCTGGTTGTTTCAGGGACGGCGAATTCATGCGGACTTTTATCTTCGGACTGGTTGCGGCAAACTCATGCTTCTCTCTTCCAAGACAAGGCCGAGAACCGGACGAAAGACGGACGGAACCATTTGGCACCTCTGGAGCAAACGACTGGGCTGGCTACCTGCTGGGTTGACAGGCAGGCCTTGAAGTCGGTAAAACTTGTCAGAGTTGGGTGTCGGCGGGAGTGACAGTCATGACCGGCGAGGGGCACGTCGTGGGGTATCATTGGTGGTTTGCAAATGTGGCCCGGGAGTTGAACCAAGATCCAAGACATCAGGCGAGCCAGGGGGGAAACAAATAGTTGAGACGAAGATCAGGCAGTGTTGTGGGAAACGTGGGTGGTGGCTGGAGCATTGGACGTTCCGGGCCTATAATTAAAGTCTGTATTGTCCTTGGTAGCTTGGCGTGTAAGGTGGTAGACCAGGAGCTTTGGTTGACAGGTTTTCTCGTTGAAACAGTTGCGTTTTCTTGCTCTCGTGGTTTAAACTCCGAGTCGGAGACTTTTGCCAACGCCTTGGCTGTGAGCCAACCGGCTTCTTAGATTGTGACTGTTCATGCGTTCTTAAGAAGATAAGACTTTACTGTCTGAAAGGGTTGCTGGGCAGTTGCGGAGTGTAGCAAAAGGTGGGTTACCGTGAAGTCTGAAGTGAGGAGAGTTGGTGTTTTGTTTGAGGCATCGTGAGACGAGAGACAGAGGAGAAAGCAATAGCAGAGAATGGAATGAGAGAAAGAGGCAAGAGCTGTTGTAAGCTTAAATCGATGCCAACCACCAGCGGGAAGGCTACCATAGTTTGACCTTACATGCTATAGGTATTTAGGCTTCATGTTCGCATCACGCATGTTGGGCTTTCCGGGCCATATGCAACCCAGTTCCAATGTTCACTCAAACACCTCCAACTGCTCCCCGATGGACAGGTACGCGGATGTCGAATATGCTGATCAGTTCTCCCGATCTCGTTCCACGAGTTGGGCTGGGGCCCGTTGCAGGAGCGGCAAGCCGAACCTGATCCGAATTCGAGCTGGCGGATCCCCAGGCGCAGATCAATCACGAAATGGTTCGCCGCACATCAGCAGTCGATCTTTCAATGCGGCTCCCAGTCATGTCAGGTACGCGAACTGGCTGTGAGACATTGCAAACCTGGCAGCCGTTCCGTCTATTCTTGCTCATTCCCTCGTTGCTTTTCATTTCTAGTTCCCGACTCTAGATATGTTTCTGATAGTCGCTCCCGTTCAAGTTCTGTGAAGGAAACCCTCTGAGATTAAAGCGTCGGCTTGAGACGAGGGCTGATAACCAAGCTTTCTTCCCATCACCCGTAAACCAGGGTCTTGCGAAAGTAATTCCATGATTCAGAGAAAGACACACGACATCGGATCAATGATCGGGGAGCAAGCAGAGAGAGAATACAAGACCGCACACTTGACTTAGTTCTTCGGGCCTTTTGGCTGAGAAAAAGGCAATGCATACGACAAGCTGCGCGGGGTCCCATTTCATTGACTTCCAGACTCAGAGTTTAGGGCTTCACTGACGGTCCAACTTGGCTCCTGTCGCCAAGCCCTTTAGTGCTGGGGGATTCGGCCTCTAAGCCGCGCCGTGCCCACCCCTGACTCCAGAAGCCAAGTTTGTCTCTTCCAACTTCCATACCTCCTCCGGATGGTTTTCCTTGTCCTTCCTAGATCCAGTCACTGCCAGTCCAATGCATGTCGCATCGGACAGCGTCGACGTGCATCCGCTATGAGGCGCTATGAAGCGTCGATCCTGCCGGCTGCTTCATCCGACATTGACTTCAACCCCGTCTTTCTTACATTCCTACCATCTCGTGCGGCGGCGACAACAGTAGCTAAGACTTCGGATTCATCGTGCCTCTTTGACACCGTCGTCTGTCATCATCGCCCGCGCAGCAAAGACAATAATGAGATGCTGTCTGGGAGCCGAGGCAGGTCACTGACGTTTGGGCACGCACTCGCATTCGTTCGCTCTTCATCTCGAGGCTGCAACAAAACCTGACATCCGGTCCTCCTTTCGGGCTGAGGGGCAAGCCCTGCCTCGCACATTGACGCTGGGTAGTGCCCAATCTAAGTATCTCACTCGTGAGCCGTCCGTCTCTATCATAACGACGCAGGCCGAGGAACCCTGGCACTGCCTCGCGTTCAGAGCCCAGAGCCATGAGCCAGCAGAGCTTCTCCATCCCATCTATGTTTCTTGTCTTCTTTCCCTTGAACCCTGCAACGGTAACGCTGTAGGCGCCCACTTGGTACCGTCGATGGCCCCCCCTTCCACTCATGTACCCCTTCTTTCATGCCCCGAGGGCTGTATCTGCTTCTAAAGCATGAATAAGAAGCTTCTTCCCAGACACGACACCCCAGACGCACCGGCAAGCTTGCAGAGACAGCATGACTTTTGACAGGACTTGGCTTTTCTCGCAATGCACCTTGGGTCTGGCTCCAGGGCCGGCCCACAACTCCTCCCCCAGCCTCACTCACCCTGGGCCCCCCATAGTCGCTCGCAAAGACCCGGCCTTGACAGGCCGGCAGTCAGATGTCCCTGCTTCCTCGCAGAAGCCCCATGAGGCGCCTTTCTGATGGTTCCCCCCCTCCTCTACATACTTCACCTTGGCAGCATCTTCGGTACCGTCATCCAGTTTACATCCGAGCCCGTGCTTGGCGCCGGCGCGCGGAGGTGCCAGTCGTTCTCACGTTTCCTTATGCTTGACACCCACCACCCCCTTGACTTATGTGATCTCCAGGGGATCATCCATACCTCGGACGCACAGCTGAAGCTCAATTGCAAAGTTGGCAATTGCTTGCTTGTTGGGCACCGTGTATCATGTCTTGCCCCCCGCGTCGTCGTGGCCTCTTTGACGGAAAAAAAGGTTGTCTGACCGTAAGGAACCACGATCGATGCTTATTTCTCCAGGTTTCCCACCTCTAGTTGCTTCATGTAAGACCTCTCTTCTCTCATCTCTTCTCCATCGCAGATTCAACGCCTCTTGGCGGTTACCAATACCTTCCTTTTTAATATTTTATTATAATTTCACTTCAAGCCTCTGAGAGGACTGCGCCGCTTTACCTACACCACCATTATTATTACCACAGAACAAGGGACAGAAAAGAGCAAGGCCTCTCTTATCACCGCTTGAGTCATCTACCTGCTTGGGGCATACCTACCACGCCATAGTAAGCCCGAAACCTGGCACAGCAGCAATAATACGAGCATTTCACGCCCGACGCTCGCATTTCTTTTCAGATCCCTGATGCGCGGAAGAGAGAGTCGGCCACCGAAGTACCCTGCAGACCAAAGCAAGTCGGGCTGCCTCTCAAGTCTCTATCCCTTTTTTCCCTTCTCATCCGCTAGTCGCCATTGGACCGGGTTTTGTGGTCCACCAGCGTACGCGTACATACTACGTATGATAGGCGTAGTCGTCACTCTCTGAAAAATCGGGGGTGGAACTACGTGAAGCGTATCAGCTTGAAGAAAAGATGGTTCCAAATCTGGGACCAAACACATCACTCGGCTACACTCCGTTTGAGTACTGGAAGGGTCCGAAACCCGTCCTTCCCAGACCAAAGCGCAAATCTAGAGCCGTCGCCCTCGACCTAGAGCCGTTGCTTCCCACCCCCACCCCGGCCCCGAAGCCTAGAGCAGCCGCGAGATGGCCTGGTCAACATCCGCCTGCAGGTGTCTTCGTGGCGCAGCCAGGCACATATATCGTATCGCCCAATATCAATCGTAGCAAGACACCTTTTGCGGAGATACTCGTCGTGCCACCAAAGGTCCTGGTCCACCCACTTTTCCGGGACGAGATAAAGACCCCAGACTGGCCCCGAGGCTTCTCTCCGTACCCCGATTCCATGAACGACTCTGACTACTACGGCGGCATCATGGGCGACTACGGATTCTCAAACGAGCGCCTCGGGCAACAACAGACTGCGTGGTGGAATCCCAAGGGATGGACGAAACGGATCTGGGCCGGCGTCGGCGGTGCCCTCGTCATCATCATTGTCATTGTCGTTGCCGTCACCGTCACACAAAACAACAAGAACCGATATCCCGACTATTCCCAGCTGACGTACAAGCTGAGTGACACATGTACGGAACCGTGCTCAGGGTCCTCGCCCGTCGCACGAGCCCCCGGCTGAACAAATGACCATTGAACACTCGATCTGATAATGACAGACTCTGGAGAGAACTTCTTCGATGGCTTCAACTACTTCAATACATACGATCCTACTGGGGGTATGGTTCACTACGTCGGTGCCGACGAGGCCGCGAGCAGGGTATTTAATCACCTTCACCCACTACTTGTATGGAACCACCGGCTGAGTATGCAACCTTTTTTTCGTGATATAAAGAACCTCACATACGCCACGTCCTCCACCGCCGTGCTGAGGGTAGACCACACCACGGGCAACACCTCATCGCCCGACGCCTCGACGGGCCGCTTCTCCGTCCGCGTCGAGTCCAAGACGCAGTACGACAAGGGCCTCTTCATCTTCGACGTGAAGCACACCCCCTACGGGTGCGCGAGCTGGCCGGCGCTCTGGTTCTCGGACCCCAACAACTGGCCCGACGCCGGCGAGATCGACGTCATGGAGGCCATCAACCAGGGCACCGACGGCAACCAGATGACGCTGCACACGACGTCCGGTTGCGAGATGAGCGTCAAGCGCAAGCAGACGGGCTCGACGCTGCAGTCGGACTGCAAGAACACGACAAACGGCAACGCGGGCTGCGGCGTCGAGGGTAAGGCCTCGACGTACGGGTCCGACTTCAACGCCGGCGGCGGCGGGTACATGGCCATGGAGTGGCGCGACGAGGGGATCCGCGTGTGGCAGTTTGCGAGGGACTCTGTGCCCTCGGACATCACGGCCGCGTCGTCGCCGGACCCCAGCACCTGGGGCGAGGCGCTCGCCGATTTTCCCAACACGGCGTGCGATATGAGCTCCCACTTTTCGAACCAGTCGCTCATCATCAACATTGACGTCTGCGGCTCGCTCGTCGAGGCAAAGTATGCTGATTCCGGGTGCGGCGGGAGCAGCTGCTCGGATTTCCAGGCCAACAACCCGGACGCCTTTAAGACGGCGTACTGGGAGTTTGGGGCCTTTAACTTTTACACCGCGTCGTGAGTGCGGCACGGTGCTGGTGAGGTGAAGAAGAAGAACAGGAAGAAAGCAAATAAAATGGGAACAAAGATTAGGGATACGGGACAAGAGGGAAGAAAAAAAAGACTTACACGAGATGAGATGAACCAAGGTCGCCACCAAGGCAGGAACCCCAGGTGGCCGAGGATCGTCATGGGATCTGATTCTACGACTATTTGACCTTTTCAAGGAGAGCCAGCGAGCTTTTCTTAGGTAGGATACCTTGGGATAACTAGAATACCAGATAAGAACGGGGAGGATAGGCTTAGATTGAGAGAAGCAAAAATGCTCCTATCGTGCAATCCATCAACTCGGATGTTGGAATTGCTGAATCAAGGCCAAATATATTACAATTCTATCATTGCTTCCGATATGTAGTCTATCCGACAGAGATCTGAGCAGAGTCGTCCCGCTGGCGTAGGCGGGTGTACAACAACACCACCACCAACCCTTGAAAAACCCAAAGTGGAGAGAGTTTCTGGCATCTATATCGTTTCCCCCTTCCCCCCCTCTTCTAAGCCGGCTCCTCCCAAAACAAAAAGGGCCAGTAAGATGTGACTGAACCGTTCCCGTAACGCCGTGCAATGCAAAATCGTACATCTTCCGTCCGCCTTTTTGTTGGTACATGTACAGACAACGACCCACCGTCTCCCCAAGAAGGAGAGCAGAAAGGGGAGCAGGCACACGGCCTCTCCGCCATAGGCGATGCCGTCCCTTACCCCCCTCCCCTCATCACCCTCAAAACCGCAACCCCCTCAACGCCTACTCGTCGCTCGGCTGCCTCATATACGCATCAATAGCAGCACTAAACGCCGCAAACGCAACACACCCGCCCAACGCAGCCTGCGGCCCGGCATTCTTGGCCAAGATCCCGCCCGTCAGACATCCCGCAGCGACACCGTTGCCCAAATCGTTCTTGGCCCGCAGACCCTCGATACCGCACTCGATGCCCGCGAACAGCGCGCCGACCTTGCCAAAGTTCTTGGCCATGCTGTACGACCGCGTGCCCATGTCCTTGAAGCCCACGCGCAGCTGCTGGCGCAGGGGCAGGTCCGCGATGGGCGTCACCGTCGTTTGGCCGGCCGTCGTTGCTGTGTGGAAGGGGGTGTCGTAGGACATCTGAGCAGAAGAAAGGGGGAAGTCAGTCTTAACGCGCTTTTCTAGTTTCAAGGGTAGAGAAGGAGTGCGAGAGAAGAATGGGGTGGGGGAAACGTACAGATGCCATGAACATGCCAAACAATCCTCCCATGCCGAAACCCATGACGCCGGACATGATACTCTTGGTAAAGCAGTTCTCCATAAAGTTGGTCATCTGCGCGCAAGTCCATCGTTAGCATAAGAGTCATTCCCAAGAGAGGTACCTTCCTCAACGTACAGCCTTCATCTCGGGATCCGGGGGGCCTAGGGACGCCGGGGCGCCTGGGGATCCGCCTTGCGACTCTTGGGGAGGCATCGCACCGCCGCCGGGGAAAGCCATTGTGTGGTAAAGGAAATTAGTTGTGTGGTTGTGGTCGTTTGTAGGGAGCGACTCGGTTGGATTATGCCGATAAAAGCGATCGCGACGCGTAGGTAGAGTTGGAAATGAATGCGCCGGAGCTGATGGATCTTGAATATTTCTGCCAGCAAAGACCGCCCCTAGGTAGACAGACACTCGTCCCTGAATGCGCCGATGGCAAATTTATTTCACGCTGCTCATGGGCTTGCCAGGTACCTCTTATCTTATCGGTGGAGCACGTGCAGACCCCACCGTTCTTGTTCGACCGACCGACCTCCGAGCGGGCCTTGCGGACTTCGGGTGGGGCCAGATGCCGGATCTTCTCCGGATTTGCATCTATGCTTCACTGTGGCTGCGATACTCATACGTCCATTATCGCCAAGGCGGGGGGTCAATGTCACCATCGTGTCCAATCTTCGTTGCCAAATTTTGCCTTATCAATGTTTTCCACCTTTCTTGAAAAGTGAGCTACAAGAATCCTATTCTCTATCGGAAGAGCATGCCCGGGCATCAGAGGTCTGCTATGATATCCGCTTGGCATGCCATCCAGACGTCTTTGGACGCAGACAGACATGAACCAAACCGAGCCTTCTTGCTGCTATAGACCCTGAATAACGGAACCTCACGCTCATCCCTGGTATCACCACGGCGTACCGATATCGATTCTGGATGCATCGAACAAAAACTCTAAATCTTCTCGGTACCACGTTCCTTCGGCATCCAAGACTGCAGAAGACTAGCCACCATGCATTACCGCAAAAAGAGGTCGCCAACGCCGTTTCTAAGCGTTCGTGTTCGGTCAACGTGGTCGAGACCGAGGTAATCATCGTCATTCGTCGCAATCTTCCACAACTCGTCATCTGCTCATCGGTCAGCATTGTAAAAAGGGCATGGTTGCAGTAAATTCTTACCATCGTTAAGGTATTGTGGCTTCGAGAAATGAGATCTCTTCACCACCGCGAACTTGATCTTCTCGAAACTCTTGCCCTTGATACCAGTCCGCTTCTCCAGGCGCTTCTTTGTATCCACGAATTGCTCACCCTGGCATATCATTAGCATTGTGCGAAGCATCGTTTGCAGAGCGACACATACCTCGACGAGCATGAACTTGAAAGGAACGCCGTGGACCCTGCTAGGCTCATTCTGGAAATGGAACACTTGAATGAAGTTGGTCGCCTCTTCGTCGTTGATCTCTTCCTCGGGTACGCGTTCGGCGAAAACGTTGGTGTAATCGTTCATACTAATGACGGGGTAATCGCGCGAGAGTTCACGGTAAAACTTGTGGCTGCTGGTCTCGTATACGCGAATACGACCTCCTTCCGTCTCGTCGGGAATGCTGGCTTTCTGGACCAAGACTTGAATCAGGTCCTCAATGTGACCGTTCTTGGCCACGAGGAGATCGAACTGCTCCTGTGCATTGTTAGCATGGCATTGCTGTACGGCGTGCTCTGCTGTAACTCACCTCCTTCGTGATGCCCTCACTCAGCCAAGTGATCTTGATGCTCTTCTTGGTGTCCAACTCAGCCAAGCTCATGTCTAATACCTCAAAGTAGAATGCATCGGTTCGTTGACTTGAACTGAGTTGATTGTATCCGGAGGGGTTCAAGATGAGCTGCAGACTCTGGTTGACGCCACGCTTGACAGTCGTCTTGGGGTTACCTGTGGCTGAGTTGACAGTCCAGAAGCGGATGTGTGTAGGGTCGACTTCGAGCTTCTCGCCGACGCGGTCTGCAAGAATGTCGTAGCTGATCTTGGAATTCAGGATCAACTCAAAGGGAGGGAATCTCTCAGCATTGCAACGTGTCGGGTGCGCGTGGAACTTGACAGTCTTCTTGTTGTGGAGGAAGTCGTAGTACTCCCGTGCATCGTCGAAGCGGTCGGCCTTCTTGGCAGGCTCTTCCGCTGCCTGCTTGTCGCCCAGACCCAGACGCTTTTCAAGGATGTTCCTGTCGCCCTTGCGTTCCGTGGTCTTTTGGAAGCAAATGATGTCGCCATCCTGCAATTCCGCAGCCTTAAGAGATTGCTTGGCCTTCAGGGCTTCGATCATGGTCGGTTTGATTTCCTGGAAATGGTCAATAAATTCTCGGCATGCACATCAAGATTCAAGAGCTTACCTCCCAAAGGGAAATCTTCTCGTCACCTGGCAGCTTCTCGCCCCATCCCATCTTCTTCATGATGATTGGGACCAGTTCCTCTACCTTCTTCTCCTTGCTGATGTAGACATGGCCAATGCCATAGAGAGATTGAGCCTCCACGTCGAAATGCTTGAGGAAGATCAGGATGAGGTCATTCTTGACGACAACCCCATTAAGCTGGCCTTGATACGTGGGCCACACTGCCTCGCCCTCTGGTGTTGTCTCTTCTGCCACTTCTGCCCAGACTCTCAAGAACTGATCTCGGTGTGCAGCCGCCCTTTGGAAGGCCTCCTCAACCGTAGGTCGCAGATCCATAATGGGCTGATCAGGGCGGATTGTCTTGTTCTGGCGATTAACCATGACCCAGAGGCGAACCTTGCGAGGGTCTTGCTCAAGGTCTGCCGCGATAGTACCCACCAGATCCTCCATTGTCGAAGCTCTCAGTACGCGATACGAGCGTGGCGCCGCATCGCCATCAGCCTGGTCCGCATCGAACGATGTCAAGTCGGTGCCTCCGTGATTCTTGAAGGTCTGCTCCGTGATGACCTTGACGCCGATATAGAGGTGCTGCTCCTCCTTCTCCTTGCGCTTCGCCTCTCTGAGAGCAGTCTCTTCGTCGAACTTTGAGCGCAGGTGGAGAGGGATGTCCTCCTTAGAAACCGGGCAAAGAATGTTATCCAGGCGCGACTGGCGAATGTAAACCAACATGTATGCGCTGTTCTGGCGTACGACCGGGGCCTTCTTCTGGAGAGGTGCTCGCAAGTGGTTGGCGGGATGCGTTTTGTATTCTCCGCCAAAGTTCTCCTCAAGCACCTCACGCATCGTGGCTCTCGTGACCTTATCATCGTCGTACTTGTAGAACCATCCATCCTTTTCAGGCTTGAGGAATGCATAGTAGTGGCCGGCGTTCAGGTCACCGCTGTGAACGAGGACGCCATGAAGCTGATACGTCCACGACTCTGATTTGTCAGCATCCTCAGAGAGGTACGGCGCTGCGTCGAAGGTTTCGGGGAATTCGTATCGATCGTTGATCTTCATCATGGTGTCTCGTTGAATGTCGTATTCGAATCGCTTCAGCTGCAAGTGCAGGACGTTGGGGAAGCTCTGGAAAATGACACCCTTGTTGGCATCCTGCAGCTTGAACTCGTCGCCGGCGTAGTACTGGTTCTCGCCGTCCATCTTCTCAACCTGGACGTAGTCCTTGAAACTGTCCAAGAGGTTCCTGTTGCCGCTGACATTGAGCTGGATGTCCCAGAAGTCCTCGACCCGGCTGGACTCGTAGTCGACGTTGACGCAGGAGATGTACGTCTTGATCTTACCACTGAACATCTGCGGGAGAACGTGCTCGGCCGGAGTACCCTTCATCTTCTCTTCCATACGCTCCATTAGCTTTCGCGACAACTCCTGAACATCCTGCTGCTCAAAAATGTGTCTTGTTTCCCAGCCAAAGGACTTGGTCAGCTCGTTCGTTCCGACAGCCTGCTCAGAGGTCTGTAGTTGGTAAAAAAGACGCTGCAGAGTGTATGCGCTGTTGCCCATGCTCTCTTCGTGGTCTGTTGGAATTTCGTAGATGGCCTACAGATAGTCAGCAATGGCGCAGTAAACGTACAAAGGGATTTGTGAGTTGACCTTTCGGAATGCGTTGGTAAAGTACAAAGACTGAAGAAGAGAGTTCAGATAACAAGTGGCGCCTTGGTTGCGGAGGCCAACGTAGCCTGTTTCCTTCTTGGAATCATAGTTGTTGAAGTTGTGCCAAAGGACACCAGTTTCGTCTTTGACAAGGCGGAGATAGGCTGTGATGTTGGCAGTCTCGTTCTCGCAAAGTGGTCGACTGCCGCCCTCCCAGGGCACGTTAAACATCTTTCGCAGCTCGAGGAAACGAGTGAAGCCCCAGTCTGACTCCTCCTTTGTGAATCTGTGGTGCGCCGTGTGGTGGGTATAAAGAGTCGGGTCGTTCGGGTTCCATAACACAAGCGCGAACTGCACGCAGCAGCTCCAATTCTCGGGAATGTTTGTCGGCTCAAATCCATGCTCAAGATAAATGGAACACTGGTCAACGTTGTTGCCGTGAGGGAAGAGAAGAATGCGCCTGATGTGAGTGTAAGCGAAGAAATTGAGAGAGAGAGCACCACAAGGGGATGGAGGTAGCGCACCATGGAAAGCCGCCAGCCTGGAATACAGGACCATGTTCCTTCTTTGACATTGATCGCCATGCTTCGACAGTCCATGTGTTGACTACATCTTCGAGCACTTCGGGCTCTTCGTGGAGGTGTGGGAAAATGACATCCTTCATAGCATCGACTACCCCGAGTTAGCCGGCGCGCAGTCTAGAATAGGTTGGTTATGCCTACAGTCATTTGCTAGAGGCAGGTCCTGTAGCTGTTCGGCGCCATTGTCGAGGTTGTCAGGGTCGATGATGGCAATAGGCTCCTTCTCTGAGTCGGTGCCGCCGACGTACTCGTCAGTGTCCACCACCATCTCGTTCGGCGAGTGGATATCGTTGTTGTAGCTCTGGAGTAGTAGACTCAGGTCAGCCAAAGAAGCGGAATAATATTCGATACAGTAGCAGGAGAGTAGCTAGGAAGCGATGCGGCGTGGTAGAGGTAGAAATAGATACGGCAGCAGCAGAGAGCTTGGCTGGCCTGATGGCGGGGTATCGAACGTCGCTCGAAGTCCAAGCAGTCCAAGCTGAAGCCTGGGGTGATGGAGGGGATGGGAAGTTGTGGTGGTGACGAAGCTCGGCAAAGAAGAGGTGCGAGAAAGGAAGTGGAATTGTGCAAGGGATTAGTCGCTTTGTCTTGTGCACTCACCATGGTCTATGTGCTGCGGGATGAAGGGAAGTGCGAGAGGAGCCGATGCCAGTCAGGGAAAAGCAGCAGACTGGCGATTTGCGCCAGGGCTGCTTCGATGACGGAGTGGGTGCCGCAGAGGCAGGTAGGCGACAGGGCGACAAGCGATACAAGGGTTGACGGAAGGCTGCGTTATTGACCCAGGAAATGGCGGGTGCAACGAGCAATTGTTGCCTTGGGCGGATGAAGCAAGTCGTGACAAAATGTTGGCAAGGAAGAGATCTTGCATGAACAAAAGACAAGACCAGGAAGGTGGAGGCGGCGGGCTGGTCCAAGCAGGTGCGGAACCTACCTTAGAGACAGGTGCAAGGTCGGTCGGCAAGGTGAGGTGAGGTGAGGTAAGGCAAATGGAGGAGGTGCACTGTAAGGTAAGGCAGGTACGTACAGGCAGGTGCTGTCGCTAATAGAGTGGGCAGGTGGGAACTGGGCAAGAGGCAGTGGAAGGCACCTCAGTCAACGTATAGACACCTCTGGTAGAAGGTGCAGAGGGTCACAGTAAATCCGCCTTTATGAAATGTTTCTTTTCTTTTGAGTGAATGAGACAGGAGCAACGAGATTTCCTTGCACCAGTGTATGCTATGATCAAGACAGACAACTCAATTTTCTAGGTTGTCATGGTGGAGAGAATGGAATCGTGAGAGAAAGGTGAGGCGCAGTGCAGCATTAGAGTCCCAGACAGGCCCTCGTGAGACCAAAAGTATTAGATGTCAGGCATTACCTTATTAATGGAGTGCTCGGCTGTGAGGAGCAGGAGCAGGCAGAGTAGTGAAAGGGTACACAGTTTATGTTAGGACTGTTGACTGAGACGCTGCTGTTGTCTTAACAGATCCGGGTTAAATCGTGCCGTGGCAAGTACCTGAGGCCTGCATAGGACCTTTTCTACCGGCCACCTGGGGGCAAAGGTGAGCTTGCGTGTAAGGCACTTCACCTGCTGCTCGGGTGCAGCCACTCAATGAAGCCGCTGTCTGGCTAGCACAAGCTGCACGTACCCAGATGGTCTTTGCCCCTCTGATTGGGGTAGAAGGCCCCCACACATCCAATGACGTTTCTGTGACTGCCAACAGAGCTTGCCCATTCCAGTTTCCTTTCACCTCCCAGCTGTGTTTCTGAGACCTGATACCTACTGCTGGAGTGATGCTGGCGGGTTTGTCTTTTCAACATCTGATCGACTCAGGTCATCTCAGCCTTGCATATCAGCCACCACTTCTTCAAACGTTCAACTTGGCCAAGCAAAAGCTGGACTAACGGATGGCTGAGATAAACGCCTAGGACTCATCAGATCCTCCACAGACATTCTCAGTAAGCAAGCAGTGCCAAGGTAGCTTAGTTTTGCAACCCCATCTCATCGCCTGAAACTTTGATCTGTACGTCTAGTCTCACATGGAGATACAGCCAATTACTGCCGTACCTGCTTACAGAACGGACGCTAGACAACAAATCTGTTTTTGACAAACAACAAATGTTCTTCCTTCGAGCATGACACCTCTGGTCCCGAACTTCAGAGTGGGCTATTCCTCTACGGAGAACTCTTACAAGCAACCAGCCAACCTGTCATACTCCCAATGGGATTCGCCTTCACTTACGCGGACGGTCTGAAGCAATGGATTCGGCCGAAGTAAGCATTGAAAGCTTTTGCGCCGCTTGCCTTCGTCACTGACTGGTCGGTCAACTCATCCGATATGTGGGCATCCCAAGAGCCTGGTACTCATACTGGCTGGCCGCAGTAAAGTTTCCATGTCATGGATATATGAGCACTACAATATGGGTACATTGCACAGGTAAGGCTCACCTTTCTCCTGCCATTTATGATTGCCGAAGACATTGCTCTCCAATCCATAGTTTGCTTGGTTCATAGATGTTGGACGTTGTGCTCTTTTCAGCCCTTTGCTCGAACACCCGTGCCCTGCGTTTTGCTCTCTGCTACGGTCCTTTTGTCTTGCCAGGTTTGCCTGAGAACCTGGTTCCACATGTCAAGACGAGGGGAAGAAATGCTAAAACATGAATCGTTGAGATGCCGTCGCCCTTCCTTGAACACCTCTTGTAAGATCATAGAAGACGGGAACAAGCCGATATGTTCCTTAGTCAGATCCCCACTTATGCCACCTCACCCCTCCATCCGAGTGCAGCACGACTCCCGAGGCAGATAATATCCCCGGGCCCCTTGGACCCGTCACCCGTGCATTCGCAACTGCCAACAGCGTCCAACTGGTGCTGAACGCTTCTGTCCTGTCAGGGTTTCCTTTCAGTGCCCCATAGACAGCTCTCATCGGGAAAATACCATCGAATACCACCTTGGGTATTGGCACCATTTCCTACCGTCTCCGCCGGTGTAGTCTTTCACACCGCCAGGATCAGTCTCGTTTCAAGGAACAAAACGTCTGACCATAAATCAGGCATAGGAGTCTAAGGACATATGTTTGAGTCCACTGTGTTTCCACCAGGTAAAACTTTGTTACAGTTTATAAGGTAGGGCCGTTTGAATGTATCCACAAACCCAGGTGGTAGCTAAGGTGAGTTTTTTGTCAACTCTCGTCAGGAACGCATACTAGCAGCGCATGCTCTTCAACGGAGGTCTTCGGTATCTTCACACACCTCAGCTTCCCCCATGGCTGAAAATGCTGACCGAACATTGTCATCTGACGGAACTGGGTTCCCAACCTGGCAGAGACGGGAGGGCCAGACGGGAAGGGCACACCTCTACCTGCGTAGATCAAGCTGGAGCTCGCGCACGCCAGGGCCCCAGAGGGGAGAGGGGTGTGGGGCCACGGCCCGTCAACGTACCCAATCACGTCACGTCGTTTCTGGCGCTGGAGACAAGGAGACCAGGGTTGCCCGTTGCGGCAGTCCGCAGCATGGTGCGCCGATTCCGCAGTGTGGGGTTATAGTTCCAGACCCTGCAAGGTAGCAACCGCCGGCCATTCTCGATGCGAGAGTCATCCAATCTGTCGACCGGTCACGCCTCTCTCGAGACAGCTTCAACAGCTGCCCAACCTACCTTGCAACATACCTGTTGACCTCAAAATCGCTCATTTACCCAACCCCCTTTGAGGAGCTTTCCACCTAAGCAGCTTCTTCTCTTTCTCGCTCCGCTCGAGGTCGCGTTCTTGCGACTTGACCAAGTACACGAAAGTTTTTCTCTTCTTTCGTTTTTACCTCCCACTCGTATGGAATTTACGGCATGGTGTCCATCGCATTGCGGCATGCCGGTAGACGATGCGGATTGACATCAGCCCCCAGGAGGGTAACGCTGCCTGCGCCCGGGAGGCTACGTGAGAATGGCATCTCTTCATCGCCATGGCGTTCAATGAGCAGTTCCACTTGGAGACCAGTTTCTGTGTTAGACGAGTGCGTCCATTCCCGCCCCCCTGCACTTCCTATAGTCACATGCTAACGAAGGTCTCTCAGATGGGTCGTAAGAGAGGCCCGTCCGATCAGCTTGCGCCAGCTCATGGTCTTTGGCCGCTCCCTTACCGAATCACGACTCTTGAGCTCTGCCAACTATGTTCGAACTGAGCTGCCGACTCGGTAGGGTGCCCCGCGTTCTCTACCTTCATACCTTAGAACAGTCGCAGACTGACACTCGCAACAGAATAGCACATCGCATTCGAGACATGCAACAGCTGCCCTACGTCGTTGTCACGAACCCCCATATCAAAGAAGTCTACGAATTATACAATAATGCGTTCGACACCTTTCGCAAGATCAAGGAGATCAAGACTCTCGAGGACAATGAGAAATTCTGCCAAATCATCAGCGGGATGCTCAAGGCGCACCTGACCGTCATACCTAAGCTCTCCATGGGCATCTTGGAAAGCAGAGGCAGCATGGATGCCAAGGACCTCGACAAATTCATGAACACAGTCTTGCGATCTGTAAGTGCTCTTGCAACCATGGTTCACACCTCCGGCGCAGACCCACGTAGGCCTAACTTGAACGTCATGCAGAGAATATCAAGGAGAGTCATCGCAGAGCAGCACCTCGCCCTCACAGAAACCTACCACTCCCCCTGGTTCTCCCCGGGCGCAAAGCTTTCCGAGTCCGAGTTCATCGGCGAGGTCTTTATAAAGTGCATCGCAAAGGACGTCATCGAACGCTGCACCCGCGCCGTCCAGAGCCTCGCCCGCTCCACTTACGGCCACGACGTCCAGGTCCCCGAGATCAAGGTCGAGGGCCACCTCGAGTCCAGCTTCCCCTACATCCTCAGCCACCTCGAGTACATCATCGGCGAGCTCCTCCGCAACTCCGTACAGGCCGTCATAGAGCGAAGGCAACGGAACAGCAAAGACAACAACAAACCCAAAGAGGCAGACGATAAACCACCGCCGCCCATCGAAGTCACCATCTGCGAGGCGCAGCAGCACGTAATCATCCGCATCTCGGACCAAGGAGGCGGCATCCCCCGCGAGGAACTCCCCTACCTCTGGTCCTTCTCAAAGGGCCCCCAGAGCCAGCGCCGTCTCGAGAACCTAGGCCGCGTGCCCAAATTGGCCGCCACCATGCAGGAGCTCCACGTCTCGGACGAGCTGGGCCGCGCCGACATGAAGACCCCCAACAGCCACACTCACGCCCACACCCATGGCAACTCTCTCGCCTCCATGACGAGCCGGCCGCCCGATCTGCGGCTGGGCATGGGCCTGCCTCTGAGCCGGGTCTACGCCGAGTACTGGGCCGGCAGCCTCGAACTGCACAGTCTCGAGGGGTACGGCGTGGACGCCTTTCTCCAGATTTCCAAGCTGGGCAACAAGAACGAGCAGTTGACGACCAGGGCCACGATGGATGCAGTATAAGTGTGAGAAACGATCTCTTCAAGACTTGGGTGCAAAGGCGGCGCAAATGTAACGATACCATACTGGCGACACACAATAGGACTTGGTTTTTTTTTTTCTGGGGAACAGGAGCACACACACACAGGCACACATCTACACAGGTAGCATTTTGTTACAGACACACGCATGAAACAATTGGGATTATAAGGTAGACGCCTTTCTCATTAATTTTGGTATCATGAAAAGGTGAGCTGGATTACATCGTGACTAAGAAACAGGTGGGGGATAACTAAACGGGAAAAAAGGGGGGTAACAGGTTCTTGGAAAGAAGAGAGCTCCCAATGTAACGTCCATCTCATACCATACCCGGAGGGCACGTTTGTGTTTTTTTCTTCCCATTTTTCGACGAATAGTGAAGACTTGAGGCTCATACTGGCGATTTTCAGCCAAATGAGTCGAGCCCATTTGGGCAAGCTAGAAGCTAGCATATCCATGATGACGCGTCAAAAAGACGATATTGCAGCGAGTTGGTGCTCTCGATCCCCGAATAGAAGAAATAAAAAGGTAAAAGTGTCGAGAATCCAGCAAGCACCAATCGCCCAGGAATAAACCGCTCAAAAATCGAGGGGAAACCCTCGCGTTCGAATGCCCTTAACGGCGACCGTGGCTGCGGACGGCACTTCCCTGCATCTGCTCCAGTTCGGTCTCCAACTGCTTGATCTGGGCGTGGGTCTGTTCGAGATCCTTGTTGAGGCGGTCGCGCTCGGCAATGAGCTTCTGCTCCCACTGGCGGAAACGCTGCTCCTCGATCTTGACCTGCTCGGTGAAGCGCTTGCGGAGCGCCTCCTCCTCCTCCTTGAACTTGGGGTTGTCGAGCTTCCTGGGGCGGGCCTCGCCAAACTTGCGGGTCTCCATTTGCTGGGCGCGGTAGGCCTCGTAGTGAAGCTCCTCGGTGGTGTGGATGAGGTCGAGCATGTGGGTACGGATGAGAATCGACCGCAGCTTCTTGAAGTCGCAGTGGTCCTCGTTCTCGACCTCGGCAACACCCCAAGAGTACTGGCGACCCTTGACGATGCGTCCATCGCCGGTCTTGACGTCCTTCTCGGAACCGATGACAGCGAAGGGCATCGCAGCCATCAAGCTGCGGGCGTGCTGAGCAGCGGGCTCGTCGTCCTCCTCGACAGGGGGCTGGTAGATCTTGATGCTCTGGGCCTCGATGACAGCGCGAATCTGAAGCACCCAACGGTTAGTCTGTTTGTTTCCGACAAGCAAGTCAATTCAAACTTACGCGAGCCTTGAACTTGGCCAAGTCCGCAGGGCTAAGAGTATCAGCCTTGGCGATGACCGGAATCAGGTTCACTCTCGAGCAGAGTCTCTTCATAACCTCGATGTCGAGGGGCTTCAGAGTGTGGCCAGTAGGGCGGATGAAGTACAGGCAGGTGTGGACACGGAGATCGATCTTGTCCTGGCGGCGAGGCTGCTGCTCCTGAAGCATGTAGGACTCGTGCTGGTCGTCAAGGAACTCGATGATGGGCATCCAGGAATCGCGGTTGTTGACATAGTCGCCGAAGCCGGGGGTATCGATAACGGTCAAGCGGACTGTAATCCGTGTTAATCGTATGATCCACATCACGGGAATTGGCAAGCAAGAGCCATACCCTTGAAAAACTTCTCCTCCAACTCAGCCTTGGTGATCTCGATCTCGACAGTCTTGTCGACCTGCTTCTGGTGACGGCGCTTGTGGTCGGCATAGTTCTTGATGGTCGTGGAGAACAGGGTGTTGATGAAGGTGGTCTTTCCGAGGCCAGACTCGCCAGCAACCTAATCATACTGTCAGTATTCCCCGGCATGGCATATTATCATGTGTTCCGTCGCACGAGAATGGACATACCATAATAGTGAAGGCAGCACCTCGCTTGGCGACAATCTTGTGTCGCTGGTTAGGGAGGTTGGCGATACCAATCGGTGAAGCGCTCTCGGCGGCGGCGGGGGCCATTTTGGGCGGTATTTGACGATTGAACAAATCTAAATTCGTTTCTGGTGCCTGTGAGAGGGTCGTTGGCCGCAAGAATCGCAATTGAACGCGCGACTGTTTTCGTGATGTGGTTGCGGTGTGGGCGTGTTGACGGTTGAGTTGGGGAGGTTTGAGCTTGTGCTTCAGGGGAATCAAAAGGTGCCACCTCCAAATTTCCCATCCGGCCTTCTGGGGTTGGGTAGTGCACACTCATTGGGCCCTTCGCAGGGGACTAATTAGGACCCCCTTTTCCTGCCAATCATTCCCCTCTTTCCCCCTGGCACTTTCACCAACAGTTTGTCTAGCCCGGAGGGGATTAGACCGCGGAGATTAGGATGAATGATTCCCCGACCCCGCCAAAAAGTTGCAAAGCGCGCCTTCAATCGATAAGAAAATCTTTGGGTTGGAGAGAATTTCGGTAGCTTCAAGGTGAGGAAATGGGTGCTAATTGACAATGAAGACCGATTTTAAGGTACGTTTTGCAGGATTTTCCCTCAATTTACATGCGATTCTGACCATTGCTTCAATTTCTAGTTTTCCAATTTGCTCGGCACGGTATACTGCCAGGGCAACCTGCTCTTCAGCCCAGATGGCACCCATTTGTTCTCGCCCGTGGGGAACAGGGTTACTGTCTTCGATCTGGTGAAGTATGTTCTGCCTCAAAAGTCGGCGCAACTCCAATATTTCCATGCTAAATTCCTATTAGCAACAAGTCACATACCCTTCCCTTCGCGCACCGGAAAAATATCTCGCGAATCGGTCTCACTCCTCGAGGAAACCTGCTACTGTCCATTGACGAAGATGGCCAGGCCATTCTGACCAACGTCCTCCGCCGAATCCCCATTTACCGATTTTCGTTCCGCTCTTCTGTCACCGCCCTCTCCTTCTCGCCTTCCGGACGCCATTTCGTTGTTGGTCTGGGCCGCAAGATCGAAGTCTGGCATGTGCCGTCCACACCAGATGCGAACGCCGAAGGAGAACTCGAGTTCGCGCCGTTTGTGAAGCACCACACCCACACACAACACTTTGACGAAGTGCGCAGCATCGAGTGGTCCAGCGACTCGCGGTTCTTCCTCAGTACCTCCAAGGATTTGACCGCGAGAATATGGAGTCTGGATCGTGAGGAGGGGTTCGTGCCGACGGTACTTTCGGGACACAAGCAGGCTGTGGTGGGAGCATGGTTCTCAGAAGACCAGGAGACCATTTACACCGTCAGCAAGGACGGCGCTGTGTTCGACTGGAAGTACGTTGGAAAGCCGGTTCAGGATGAAGACGAGATGGTAGACGAGGACGAGGACGACATGCGCTGGAGAATCGTCGACAGACACTACTTCATGCAGAACAGTGCGCATGTCCGATGCGCAACCTTTCACCCCGAGTCCAATCTTCTCGTCGCCGGTTTCTCCAACGGAACTTTCGGTCTGTACGAGCTGCCCGACTTCAACATGATCCACACTCTCAACATTTCTCAAAACGACATCGACTTTGTGACGATCAACAAGAGCGGAGAGTGGTTAGCCTTTGGCGCATCAAAGTTGGGGCAACTCCTGGTGTGGGAATGGCAATCCGAGTCGTACATCCTGAAGCAGCAGGGCCACTTTGACTCCATGAACAACTTGGTCTACTCCCCCGATGGACAGCGCATCGTCACCATTGCCGACGACGGCAAGATCAAGGTTTGGGACACCGAATCTGGTTTCTGCATCGTCACCTTCACAGAGCACACAAGTGGTGTCACGGCCTGCGAGTTCTCGAAGAAGGGCAACGTTTTATTTACATCCAGTCTGGACGGCTCCGTAAGAGCTTGGGATCTCATCAGATACAGGAACTTCCGCACATTCACAGCGCCGACAAGGCTATCATGGTCATGTATGGCCGTTGACCCTAGCGGCGAGGTCGTCGCGGCTGGATCTCTGGACTCCTTTGATATTCATATCTGGTCCGTTCAGACGGGACAGCTTCTGGATCAGCTCACCGGTCACGAGGGTCCCGTGTCGGCCCTGGCCTTCACACCAAACGGCAACTCCCTTATCAGTGGTAGCTGGGACCGCACCGCAAGAATTTGGTCCATCTTCAACAGGACACAAACGAGCGAGCCTTTGCAGCTGCAGGCCGATATCCTCGATATCGCTGTGCGCCCTGACTCTTTGCAACTGGCGATTTCAACATTGGATGGTCAGCTGTCTTTCTGGTCCATCATGGATGCCGAGCAGGTGTCTGGACTGGACGGCCGTCGTGACGTTTCCGGTGGACGCAAGCTTACCGATCGGAGGACGGCCGCCAACGTGGCGGGCACAAAGAGCTTCAACACCATTCAGTACAGCACAGACGGAAGCTGCTTGCTTGCCGGTGGCAACAGCAAGTACATCTGTCTGTACTCTGTTCATACCATGGTTCTTTTGAAAAAGTACACCGTCAGTGTCAACCTGTCTCTGTCCGGAACGCAAGAGTTCCTCAACAGCAAGTTCCTAACCGAGGCCGGCCCCGGCGGTCTGATCGATGATCAGGGCGAGGCCTCGGATCCCGAGGACAGGAGAGACGACTCCCTGCCGGGCTCCAAGCGCGGCGACCCTTCTGCGAGGAAGAGGATGCCAGAGGTCCGCGTCTCGGGCGTTGCATTCACACCCACCGGCACGGCCTTCTGCGCCGCCACAACGGAGGGTCTGCTTATCTACAGCCTCGACAACCTCATGCAGTTCGACCCCTTTGATCTCAACATGGAAATCACCCCCGCATCCACCCTCGCCGTCCTCGAGAACGAAAAGGACTACCTCAAAGCCCTGGTCATGGCCTTCCGCCTCAACGAGGCCGGCCTCATCAAGCGCGTCTTCCTTTCAATACCGCACACGGACATCGCTCTGGTCGTCCAGGACATGCCCATCGTCTACGTCCCCAGGTTACTGCGCTTCGTCGCGGCCCAGACGGAGGAGACGCCGCATATTGAGTTCTGCCTGCTCTGGGTCAAGGCGCTGGTGGACAAGCACGGCGCCTGGCTCACGCAGCACAGGGGCAAGGTGGACGTCGAGCTGAGAATCGTGGCGAGGGCCGTCTCGAGGATGCGCGACGAGATCAGGAGGCTCGCGGACGATAATGTGTACATGGTGGACTACCTGTTGGGCCAGGCCAGCAACGAAAAGGAGACGACCGGTGTAAAAATGCTAGACTTGGCCGCGTTCGACGCCCCCGCCAAGACTTTGGCGATTGGCGACGCGGATGAGGGCCAGAGCGATTCCGACGGAGATGAGTGGATTGGGCTAGAATAAAACCATAGATGTTATTACAAATGTATACCCCCCGTTTTGTCAAGCTGCCATGATTTTGCTACTGTTACACTTATGTCGTCCCATCTCATTCATTTACAACCTTGATGTCGTCCTGCCACCGTCGGCTAGTCAATCGCGGGCAGGAACGTCCTAGAAGCAGCGTCAGTATCATGAATTTACACCAAACGACGAGTGTTTTGCTCACCTTCCACGCCTCTTCAAAGCCCGCTGAGCGAACCCATCTCGTCTCGTCGTGTTCAGTGCTGTCCAACAACATGTAGGTGAGGTTGAGCCATTCCTCATTCTCGATCTTGATCCAGGGTTTGTCGCCATACTTTGCTGAAAGGTCCTGGCAAATCCCAAGTGCTCTGACCACCTTGATCGTGTGGCCGTCATCTACAAAGTTATGAAATCTTGGAAGGAGGTCTGTGGAGTCCATCAGCCACTATTTTAAGTGAGACCAAAGATGGAAAACTTACCAGTCGGCTTGGAGACCAAGTCCTTGCCCTCATCTTTGTCCTTTGGCTTGTACGACTTGACATCCTCCAGGCGGAGCGGCGGGCACCCGCGCGCCGCATACTGCACCAGGTCCATCCGGATCTTGTACTCCAGCATGCGCACCTTGTTCTCCGTCGAGATCCACGGCATGGAGTTGAAGCTGAGGAATATGGGCGCAGCGTTCGTGTGGTGACTGTTTACAGCATCAGCGTCTGGCATTCCCGTCGCCAGCCTCTCCCAAGACGAAAAAAAAGATCACACTCACATCAAGAAGAAATCCCACTTTGGCTCCTTGCCTGGCCGAAGAGCCGCACCGCCGGCAACGTAAAAGGCAGTATGAAACATCTCCGCCGTCCTCTCGTCAAGCTCCTCAGGACGAACCTTGACCTTGCTCGCGATCCGCAGCATCTGCTCCGGCGCGCGCTTCAGAATCCCGTCAAAGATCTTATTCGCGTCCTTCATCTGAGCAGCTTGAGCAAGCTTCTGGTCACGACGAATCTCCTCAACAAGATCCGAAATCGGCGGCATACGCTCACTCGCTGCCGCCGCACTCTTCTCCGTCTCGTCAAAAAAGTCCTTGAGCTGGTTCTTGTGCACCGCGGCCTGCGCCAGCCCCTCGGCGACGATGGCGGGTTGCTCCCACTCGACGCCGTACATGAGCTGGATGATGGGATGCAAAAAGCCCGCAAACATGCGCTGGAACATGTCGTCGGCACGCTCGTCGCCCTTGAAGAGGTGCTCTTTCAGCGCCGCCTCCCAGCCCCCGAGCCTCTCGATCTCGCGCTGGAAGAAGAGGAGGAAGTCTGGGTAGTGCTTTTCCTTGCCGAGGTACGTTTTCGCGCGGTCCCAGTCGTGTAGCTCATCTGCGACGGAATCACGTGGGGTCTGGGCTGGGCGCTGGTAGTCTGCGTTTTCCTTGTACGCCGCTTGAATGGCGTCGGGGCCTGCGCCGGTACCGAAGAGGGCTAGGACCTGATGAGGGATCTTGAACGATGTTAGAGGCTGGCTATGAGATGATCCGAGTATCTGAGCTCACGTGGTTGTGGAAGCCTTCTTGGTTGAAGAAGACATGATGTTTCTGTACAATATTAGCATACCGCTCACTCCTATGTAAGGTACGGTTTGTCCGTACCTCGAGATCCTCCTGTAGTAGCTCAGACACCTTGCTCGCGGCAGCATCTTTCTGATCAAACTTCCACAGTCCCGTGTTCGTCACCGGGACATTGATCTTGTATGCTGTCGCCATGTTGATAGCTCTGATTTGGCTGTGTGAGAAAGTATGGTTTCCGCTGGATGTGATGTGTTTTGAGATTCTCTTGGGAATCGTGGATGGTAATCTCATTTTACTTAGAGATGACCCTCGCCATGACATCGTGGGAACGTTAAAGACCGTGACTGAACCTTAATATGTATCAAAGACAGGGGGCCTCGAACCTCTGCAAGACCCCGGGACGGTACGCCCGCTTACAAATGAGGTACACGCGAAAGGGCGAGCGCGAGTGGTAAGAATCGGAGGTGTTCCCATAGGATGGCTAGATGCGGGTAAGTCGGAGTGGCTCCCGGGCGGCGACCACGGGAAGGGGTCTGTGGTGCGCATCACCTAAACTCTACAAAGCCATTTCCCCAGACTTTTGACGTCATCACAACTTTGGGAGGAGGATTGGGTTTAGATGCCAATGTCACCTACCACATTCGTCAGACGATTGAGAACCGAACACCTAATAGTGGGCTGTAGTGTTAGTAAGCTGCAGTGTTAGTAGTCGGGAATACATCAGATAAGTGACCAACAAGCCCCGACAGAAAAGAACGGACCGGAGAGTCGTTGACACATACCTCCGAAACTGTCCGCCGAAATCTCCACTATCCTACATTTTCGGTCTCCGTGATCTGCCGGCTTGGGAAGGTCTTTCACCGAGACCCGAGCCCTGTCTACGATGAATTGCAAGTCTACGTATACCTCCGACAGGATCTCTGTCGGATCTGGAACGACAAGATGGAACCCAAATACGTTCGAGTTGCGGGATGAGAAACCCAAACGCCCATGGTGCTCTCACTAGTGTTGTTTTAGTAAGGTAAATCGACTGAAGTTGTGGGTGGACCTTCGTATGCCTGAGGGAGGGTGGATGCACCTTCGGTCTTGAGGCTTGAACGCGAAGGGCGACCATATCGTAAAGTAATTCGAGATTCTCGGTCACGCGCGAAGATTTAAGCATAACAATATGTACCATAACAACTAGCTGCACGAGGTGCTTGCTGTGCGCCTGCCCTTCGGCCACCATCGGTGAGCCAGAATATCACAGCAGATACTACGAGATAAGAACACCCTGATTTGACATTAACAGGAATGCGTGTACAAGAGCCAGTTACAAGCACTGGATTTCTGGTTATCTTGTCCAATGAATGAGGACATTCAGGCCAGCTCTTGCCAAGATCAGCCTCATAGCCTAGTCTCAGACTTGCTTACGCCTGGACATGGGCAGGCTGCCTACCTGGGCGCCACAGCGCCTGCTTTACCTTTGTACCTTGAAAATAGGCAACAGTGGTATCAATATTAAGGAAACTCAGGGTAAGAAGCAGGTGGTCTTAGTGAGGCGTGACAAAGCTCCACGGAATTCCAAGAAGGAACAAGGGCTCGTTGGGACTATCCCAATTGTTAAGCTTAAATAGCAACACGTGCGGTCGTTCATTATATGATTTCTCCCAAACCCAATTCACCTTATTCACTTGCCAAGCTGTATCTTACGATTGAGAAATATCCTCAAAACCGCCACCAGAAGTCCTACGAAAACATGCTCATAACAGCGACCATTCCTTAGCCAAGCCCCAGGCTTCTTCTAAAGAGCTGCGGGCTCCCACATGGCTGTACAACGACAGCCATGTCATCTAGTATTTGTCTCGCCTCAGCCTCCCTGCCACAGCCTCGATGGTGATGGATACATCCAAGGCTGACAGCCATGCCCAAGCTTCACAGCAGGTGGATGTAACCAGTAGTCAATCATCGGGCGGAAAATGTCCGCCTCAAGCTAAGACAGCGCTCGAAATTTGTTCCCTTGCGTCCACCAGATTCTCCAGTCTGGTCACACAAGAGATAGGCACCGGTGGCGTGACAGACCAAGAGAAGGAACCCTACGGGCTTCGGCTGAGGCAAGTTTGCTCCAAGACGATGGGACCATTTCTCGAAGTCAGAAGGCATTTGTTGGTTTCCCTCATACACACCTTTCCCTAACGCCATACTTCAGACTCCCGAAGACAACGCATCCCTTCTTTCTCTTTCTTCGTCAACGAGGCCAGGACGATTGGGTTAAATCTATCTATAAATGTGTCGCACAGCGTTATTACTGTTCGCTTGGTTGGTGGTTTCAGCGCAGTGTTGGAATCCCTTCGGAAGATCAAGGCTGATAATCCGCGATGACGCTCCGTCTCCTTCTGATTTCCTAAGGAGAGCTTTCCCTTCAGGTATGTCGAAGACTTCATAAGACACCTCACGAATCGAGGGTCGCATTTTAACTTGAGTAGCAATCGTCATAGGCGGCTATGTGTATATAGACGGCGGCGAGGTATCCCAGTTATACAACGGCAAAAATGGGACCACTGCCAACCACCCGTCGTGGACAGGTAGGGCTTACGTCCCATTCAAATTGGAATCAGGACACATCATTGACGTCGGTTGCTTTCTCCAGTTAACTCGACACTCTCCATCTGTCTCGAGCAATCATGGACCAACTCCAGTGTCACGATGACATCCACTCCCAAGAATGGACCGAAGCTCAATAAGCAGGCCATATGGCGAGACCCATCCTCGACCGGATTCTACGTTTGGGGCGGCACGATGTCCTACTTCGACACACCACCGGCAAAAGAGTTATGGCATTTCGAAGTGGATGGTAACGGTGGCGGAATCTGGTCGCAGGTCTCCCCCGCGAGCGTCGTAGCTTTCAGCAAGCTCACCCGCACCACAGAAGCCTCTTTCACACAGAGTAAGGATGTGGGATATTACTTTGGCGGGGTTGCAAACTCTGGAACGGATACGTCTACTTATAACAATGCTCTCGCCATCCCTGGACTGATATCATACAACATGACTTCCGGAGAGATAAAAAATACGTCCTCTATAGGATTCGGTCAATACGGGACCTCGATAAGAGGCTCAGCACAGTTCGTGCCGTTTGGATCCAGCGGAGTACTGCTCTTCTTAGGCGGAGGCCAGGCACCAGTCTCATTACCGAAAGGGAGCTGGGCGGAGATGGACTTCAACAAGGTCACCTTATATAATCCCAGCAGTCAGTAGACTCTCTTGGCGACGCGTGTTTCAACAAGGCACTGACACTTACTCAGCCGACAAGTGGTATACTCAGCCGACAACAGGCTCCAGACCGGCGACACGAGGAAACTTTTGTGCGGTGGGCGCTTCCAGCACCAATAACACGTACGAGATGTAAGAGAAACAACTTCCATCCTATCGCTTGACCATGATAAGTGGCTGGGACTAATGCCAGTGCGTTACTCAGCTTTCTCTACGGCGGCGGTAGCACCGAGACAGGCAGCGTCTCTGGCGATGTCTACGTCCTGAGCTTGCCCGGGTTTGTCTTCTTCAAAGCAGCAGGCTCGTCAGCCATTCGGGCGGACCATACGTGCGTGGTCGTGGGCGAAGGAGGCCGCCAGATGCTTTCTATTGGAGGGACGGACGGGTCCCTCGGCTTCCCTAGGTCGCTGACAGACCCGGACCCCTGGAAGCTCGGGCTGGGCATCTTTGACATGACGGAGATGCGCTGGTCTGATGGGTATGATTACCAGGCGCCACCGTACGAGTCGCCGGACGCGGTCAAGCAGTGGTATGCCCAAGGGGGACTAGACTCCGTCGTTTGGGCGAGCGAAGAGGTCAAGGCCTTATTTTCTGAGCGTAAGTGAGCGTGACTTCATTTTAGAATATGAGTCTATATCTCAAGGTATTGACCAAACAGCAGCGGCGCCCGCCATCTCGACCTCGGATCCTTCACCTACTGAACAGTCCAATACGGGCAGCCCAACTTCAACTCCGCAAGGTTCTCAGCCATCCAATCCGCCTATCGGTACCATCGTAGGTGCCGTTGTGGGCGGTGTTGTAGGCCTCGTTCTTATAATTTGCCTCGTAGTGTTCTTCCTGAGGAGGAAACGATACCAGGCGGCGCCGCAGCAGGAGACAGGCGGAACGCCTCCAGAGTACGAGAAGCCTGGCAGCGAGCAATATGGATACAATGGACCGGCCGGGATCAATGCGCTACACGAAGGACATACCGACCACTTCAACCCCGTCGAGTTACCCGCAGAACATGGCGCTGCGGAGCTTAGCTCCACGCATGGCAGATATGAACTCGGCCAGACGGTGGCGAGGCCATCCTAATCGATGTAGGAACGAGGAACGTCAGCAAAGGACGAGTTGAGGTCGCGCATGAGTTCTACATCTCTCAGTCGCAGACATGAATAGTAGGGTCACATCATGTAAGAACAGGGACGAGCAATGGTATAACAAACGAAAACTTTTTGAATTGAGAGTCCCTCCCTCTTCCTCTAGGAGGGGGACTCGATCATGGTATCACCAGGTTTTGTCTAATATTAAGAAGGTTCATCATCATGCGTGTGTGTGTGTTGTGGGGTGTGGGGTGTTGTTGTCATCGTCGGTGGCAGTCATCAATCTAAGCCTTGCGCTTCTTGTTGGGGGTGGTCTCGGCGTCGCCCATCTCCTCATCCTCGTCCTCCTCGTCGTCGGACTCAAAGTCGGCATCGGACAGCTCGCCGGCCTCCTGAGCTTGGGCTATCATTGAGAGTAAGTCTCCGTCTCGTCCTTCTTCGGCAGCGACGGCACCGTCGCGGAGGAACTTACTAAAGTAGTGGAGCGCCTCGGGCCACAGGTCGGTGGCGATGGCGACGGCGACGTCGTCGCCGTCGGGGAAGATCTCGAGCTCGAACTCGGTCTCGTCCTCGTCGCCCTCCTCCTCCTCCTCCTCCTCGGCGGCCTTCTTGCCGGCCTTGCGGTCCTCGAACTCCTTGACCTCCTTGGCGAGGGCGGCGGCGCTCTCCTCGGCGGAGATGCGCTTGCCGACGTAGCCGAAGAAGGAGAAGAAGGAGACGCCGCCCATGGCGGTCTCCTCGACCTTCTTGCGGAGGGCCTCGGCCTCGGGGGTGAGCTTGCCGGGGGTGATGGGGCCCTGGTCCCAGACCTTCTTGGCGGCGGAGAGGAGGCCCTCGGTCAGGTCCTTGCCGGCCTTCCACTTGATGTCGACGGGCTCGGAGACGAGGCCGGTGTAGGTGGCGGAGTGGCGGTACCAGAAGGTCTTTTCGACGACGGCGTCCTCAAAGTAGTCGTTCTCGTTGAACTCGAAGCGGATGGTGAGGGAGCGGGGGTCGCCGCCGGAGCCGTTCTCGATCTCGGGGCGGGAGACGGAGATGGTCTTGAGGGAGGAGAGGAGCAGGGCGGCGTCGGAGGGCTGGATGTGCTCGTCGACCTCGGGGGGCGACTGCTCGAAGACGAGGGCCCAGAAGTTGGGGATCTTGGAGACGACGGCGGCGCGCTTCTCGTACAGAGGCTTGGAGAGCTCGTACTGCTTGCGGACTGGCGAGGGGTGTTAGTTTGGTGAAAGATTGAAAAGCAGAAAAGAAGAGATGAAAAGGAAGAGGATCCTGGATCTTTTCTCTGGGAAATGTGGTGGCTTGCGCAAACAGAATCAAAACATACCAATCTCGTTCTCAACGAGCTCGAACTCGCGCTCAAGGTCAGCGAGCTGCTCGTAGGTGACACCAGTCTCAACCATTTCAGTCATTTTGGCGGTGTTGTTTATGTGTGTGTGAAGGAGTAAGAGAATAGGTGATGAAGTGTGAGAAGTGAGTGAGTGAGTGAGTGAGGAGAGTCAAAGAAGGAGGGAAGAGAAATCTCAAGAAGGGTGCTATGAGATTTTTCAACTTTCTTTCGTGGCGGGGTATTGATTACAAGAAGGAAAAAAAAGTTGGCGGGGTTGTAATTAGCCTGAGTCGCAAAGGATTTTGTTCAGAAGCAAAGCTCAGGCGGTGGAGGGGTGGGTTGGGAGGCACAAGGGGCAACGATGTCTTAGGTATTAAGTACCAAAGTAAGGTATCCAAGGCGTGAACCTAGGCTGCTTATCAAATCTATGGTACATGTACGATTACTCCTGTCTCGTATCGTTTGTTTGTTATTCTCCTCTTGAATAGGTAGAAAAAAAATCTGCTTTAAAAAAAGGGACCCTGTGGTTCTGAATACGTGGGGGAAAGAGGAGCGAGGGGAGGGGTGAATGGGCCACAGCAGAAGAGGCAACCGTAACGCCAGGAACAAACAGACAAGGGGAAAAAGTGAATGAAGAAAATTTTCCAAACAGGTCGCCTGCGTCTCTCTCGTCACCTTGTCACCTCGTCACCTCTCGTATGTGTACTTGTGCTGTTTGGGTTTCCTGTGACGCCAGCTCTCAAGGATGGAGGACGAGAACTGCAATCTTGACTGGCCATTGCGCATTTGGGCGGCGGTGACTGATGTCATTGGATCGTGTCCCCACGTCCCTGTTGATCTCGAACTTTTTGGAAATCCCAGACGCACCCAATTGGCGCCAGACGGAGCAATTTCCAGCGGGCCCATTGGACACTTGCGTTTGCATGGCGAATTTTTTTTGAATTTTTTCTGTTTGCTGTCTGCCAGTCTGGGAGCACACTATCGCCAAGAACACAACTCAAGCCCGTGCCTTGAACGTGCTTACCGCTAACAAAACCACTCGCTACCGTGGTGTCTCCCACTCGGCATCCTCAGATCATTGTGTTAAGCTCCCGCTCAACGCTGAAGACCGAAAAGCTAGACCCGATGGAAAGGGTCCTCCTTCTTCTTCTTACCCAGTTCGAGAGCACCGTGCCTGGACCCCTAGCGGGGTCTCATCCGCAATGGGACCTCTCCGAACAACGATCTTCCATGAACGTTCACCTTCCTCATCAACAGAATTTTTTAAGGAAAACAAAAAGACGAGAGAAGAAAACAACAACAACAACCCCTCCCCCCACTCACATGGCAATTTTTGAACTGGTTGCTTCTAGATCGCCATTTTTTCTTCACCTCTATCCACAATCTGCATTCGTGTCACCGCCCTACCCACAGACTAAGACGCGGCAATTGCCCGTGGGTATCCGCTACTCTGCTACTGTGACTGGGAAAACCGCTGTGAAGCCAAATGGTTAATTCATGCGTTCTTGTTTCCCACCAGCTCCATTAGCCGCGCTGTTCTGTACTGCGCGCTCTTTCGCCTTCTGTTGCTTCTTCTTCTCCTCTATTCTCTTATAAGCTATGACAAACATAGACCCACCGGGAGGGGGTTCGATCTCTCGTTGCCCCTCGCTGCCATCTCTTTCGACTCCTCATCGTCGAGTTCCTCTATCCAAGCAAGTTGCTGGAGACTGACGGTCTCTTGCTCATTACACATGTCTTGGGTTACCTGGGTCTTGAAGATATGTAGAGAAAGACCGAAGCCCCGTTGCCAGTGATCAAGTTGGAAATTGAGATTCGTATCAAGACAACCTTCAACCAAGCTTGGCCAGCATCGTCAACAGCAGAAGATTTGCCAATCTAGATGAGCTGGGACGGCATGAGATGGGACGGAAGCCGTGTGAAGTTCTACCCCCCATCTCCTTGGACCAGTCAAGCATTACCATACACAAATAAGTTGCATCGCCTAAAGAAAACTCCATCCAGTAGACGGAATGTCACCGTAAACCAAAAGCAAAAATTTGTCCGTCCCTTTCCCCTAATTCTCGCTGGCATCATCCCAACAGCTCCCCCGTTGCTAGGAGACAGACGAGCAGTGACATTAAATGGTCAAGCCCCCCCCCCCCCTCCCTAAAGAGAAATCCGAGATGGCCTGCCTCCACTATACCAAGTACTACTTTCGACTGGATTAACACGTGAGGACACTCTTCCCAGGGCTCTCCCCTGTCCTCAACTCGGCGTCGGGTAGACACACTTCCGAAGAACATGTCAAGGTAACTTGGATTTCACTGAAAAAGCTTTGAAAATCGCAGCCATCATGCTCAATGTCAAATGCGGACCGCTTCTCCGCTCAGTCCCGGGACGTTCGCGGAAGAAAGTGGATCCCAGCCACCGGCCATGGGGCCCGAGAAGGGTCCACACGATGTCGGGCCGGGCGGACAAACCTCAGGTAGTATACCAGTACCTTACCGCTCGTCAACCTGTCAGCCGCGGGAGTCCGTGCTTAGGTTAGGTCCTAGGTACGCGTGGTCCGTGAATGATGGCAAGTGCCCGGTATAAGTCCATATGCCTTCGGATTCTGTCTGCCATCAGCTGATACACATCATATTCTCCTTGAAGCTTTACATATATTCACTCGCAATGGCAGTCTGAATCAATGTGGAAACCAGCCAAATGTATTCTTTCCTCGTGCATGCCGTAGTGCCGCGTCATCATCGTCTTGATTAACCAACAGGTTGACTATTATTGCTTGCGCAGTCCAGGTGTTGATCTCTTTTGTTTTTTTTGGTTCTCTCACGCTCTCCCTCTTGTGTGATCGCGAATCCTCTGAAATGCAGTGCTATCGCTCCCTTCCTTGCTTGAAACCCACGGCCTTGCCGGCTCCGGTGCTCTTCTGTCCTCATGACAGTAACAACGCTTTGATACTCCCATAAATCATCAGATCATATGACTTTTTTGTCGTAGTTGTGTAGTAAGGTGGCTGAGAAGAGATCCAGAAACGGCCCAATGACCACTCGTGTCTTGCACATTGCCGGGGGTATATCCAATACAAAAATCAAACGCAAATATGACCAATTCAATGTCTCCCCTGAAATTCGCTCGCTCAAGCCCCGTGATCCTAAAATGCTCTTCTTTTCTCGGGTAGTGGCCTACCACGTGATATGGGTAACACGGGACCGCATGTCTGGCATGCCGGTGATGATGCCACGAGTACCGACCTGGAGGTTGGCAAATCTGGCCCTCAGGTCAAAGTCCACCGCCCGAACCATGACGCGCTTCTCTTCGGGAACAGATCGCTTCGCTTTGATCAGTCCGGGAAGCGCACTGTTCCTTCGATCATCCCAACGGGCATTGCCACCAGGTCCCAGCGGAATGCCCTCGCCAAAGTCCACTGATCCATGTCTTCCATTGGCGCCGGCTTGGGAGCCCCGCGCGTCTGGAGACGGTGAAGACAAAGGCTCTTCCTCCTCAATCGTGGCAACCCACTGTCCAATTCGCGCTGTGAGCTCGCTGTCCCACATGCCTTCCCGCCGCGCGCTGCTTCTCAAGAGCTGGATAGCCTGTCGCCGGATGACGGAATGCCTGCACTTGGTGGCCACCACAAACAAGGGCGGGACGATACCCAAGTCGGCACTGAAGCTCGGCTTGATGTGGAAAGTATTGTACTCGTGACCGCCAAAGATATCCGGGGTATGATTGTGACGGTGAGTACACTGCGAAGGGTCGGGACACCTCTTGGCTGCCGCTCGTCTCTCTTCGTCGCCCACCACTTCAGAAGCAAGATCAACAATGGCCTTGAAATGCGGTTGAAAGACGTCAAACTGCGACTCGTTGTCGCTGTATGTCATAAGGAACAGAATCTGGCTCATGATCTGGAACATTTTCAGAACCGCGATGCCGGCCTTCTCTTGATGACTGACGCCGGGCGCTGTGCGCGATTCGAGGAGATACTCAAATGCTTCGGACCAGGCGTCAAGTTGTCCCTTGAAGCTCATGCCATACTGTTTCAACGATTTAGGGAGAATACCCATCGGTCCGTTCGCGCCTGTTGATTTTTGATACGTGAACAAGGTTTCGGTAAAGCGAAGCATCTTCTCGAGAAGCTTGTCCCAAGCGATGCGAGCCTCCATTAAATTAAAGAACTGTTCCGGCATCGATGATGAACTCATGGATGACGGTGAGCTGCCGGCGTCTGAAGGGGGCGACTGGGGGAGCTCGGGGTTTTGGGGCGTAAGCCGAATCACGTACGGCTCGGGGAAGTGGAAGGCCATGTCGTACGACTTGGCTTGGATGGCCAGCCTCGTGAACATTTTGACCAGTTCTTCCTCAACAGGCTCCTCGGAGAGGGGTACGAACGATTTCCTTCGCTCGGCCCGTAGCTTCTCCAGTAAGCTGAGGCCAGTCTGGATTTGTCGAATCGCTTGGCGATGGTCCCCAACGAACGAGTCGAAGCAAGCCAACAGCACACTTGCCATCAACAGAGTCCGATGCGACTTCTGGTCACGGTGGAGCTGGACGAGTGCGTTGATGGCCTCCGAGTACTGTTTGACTGCCACTTCCCAATGTCGATATGCGCCATCCATGGGGTTCATCACGTCGGATGGTGAGCCTGGCGGAGACTCGCAGGACTGTTCTAGAGTCTTGTACAGAGCCCCAAGAGCGACCACCGCGTGGCGGATGGCGGGCTCAGCATGGCATTCCTGGAGAACTGTCTGTGTCCAAAAGACGGAATCAAAGTAACCAGATAACTCGTTTGCGGTATGAGTGCGGAACAGCTGGAAATAGAGACCCTCTTGAGGTGAGAGCTGTAAGTTGCCCGCTGGGCGGTACATAGTAATGGCTGAAGGACCGTCATTCGGGGTTTGCGGGGGAGTTAAACGACGCTGAATCTTCTGAACTCGTCTGGGAGGTAATTCGATGGAGGCTCGCGCGGGAGCGGCGTTGGTTGGAGCGGCGGCCAGGAGAGGCTTTGGAGCAATGGCGAGAACCTCGTGAGGTCTCGCGCTGCGGCTCGGAGGTGGATATCCGGTGCAAATCTTCTTGGAGCGTACACACTGCGAGCAGGAGGGTCGTCTTTCGTCGCACTTGATGCGCCGTTGTCTACAGTGAGCATGTCAGGCTCTTGCCCACGAACACGAGTACAGCAGGGGTGCGTCACGTACTTGCAGTTGTTGCATCCTGTCTTAACTTTCGGTTTACTGGTTCTGGCCCTCTTGGGCTTTGCCTGGGAATCTTCGGAGGCGGGACTGGTCGATGTGACCGAGTTCGCGTCGGCGCCGTTGTAGGACGACATCGTCGCTGTGTAGAGTTGAGGTGGAATCTATGGCCGAGGCTTTGTCGCATATGCATTCATCGCCTTGGACTCTTTGTCGCGGACGAAGATGTCTGTCTGTCCCTTGATCCCAACAAAAGTGTTGCTGACGACGGCGAAGTTGAGAAGCTGAACCACCACAAAAAAAAAAGTGTCTGGCCGGAATGCAGGGGATTCGGGAGCTCTTTAGGGTAGAAGGGGGGACCGGGGCGCGGAGATAGTAACTAAGGCAAGCTAAGGGTCGGCGCGATGACGGGTGGTCTGTGAACTCGGCGGTTAGACAGGGTAAGCCTAGTGTAGAATCGACCAGGACGGGGAACGGGTCCGGCGGAGGGGCGATCTGCTGAGGGACGGGGTCTATCCCTCGGTTCGAGCTCTAGGCTCTCGCGCTTACATGACTAAAGGAGTTGTAAAAAGGCGCCAAGAAGAAAAGAGTCCAGGTTGAAGGGGGGGCAGGCCTCAGTACTTCGTAAGAGTAGGTGTCCGTAGGTATTCGTAGAGGAGGGTGAGGTGGGAGAAGCAAAGATAAGGTAAGAGAAGATTCAGGAGGAGAGGCACAACGGTTGTTGCTTAGACCTCTCTTTGAATGTCGATCAAAAGCAAAGAAGGGCAATGACGAGTAGTTGTGTCTCGACTGGGGTGATATAATAGTTTGCTTTCTCGGCTTGCTGATCAGATGCGCAATGACAGGGTGTTTGGGCAGCTCTCAGCAGCCTTCACAGCGGGAAGGAGTTTGGGGGCCGCGAGTCACGGGCGACGGAGGATAGAGTAATATAGGGCTGGCGGATGGCGTGTGGGCGCGGACCTGGGCATCCGTAGCTAGTGTTGTGACGCTACAAGCCACTGGATGTGAATGGAGCAACAGATCAGTAGCTTGGACCACAGGGACCAGGGGAGAGGGGGATCCGAGTAGGGGAGACCGAGATCCACGGTGGGAGGGGGGAGGGGACCTGGAGAGGGCCTGGAGGGATAGGTAGACTACGGAGAAGAGGGTGAGAGGAAGAGGAAAAGCCAAGCAATGAGACAAGTCGCGATGTGGAGGCCTGTGAAGCTAGAGGTGGCTTGCAACGAACAGCAGACGCAGACCCGGACCGGGATCTTGTTCGATGGTGGTGTGGTGTCGTGCCGTGGTGATGGGCACAGAGGAGACGCTGACAGTCTTTTAGGTAGGCACTGGTGGAGGGATACGTTGCTGCGCTATGCTGCACTGCATGCAGGACCTCCGACGTCGATTTGGCATGTACCGGAGGGAGACAGGGAGGGAGGGCTGACGTGGGGAGACGGTTATCAGATTCCGGGTTGCTGAGGGCGAGCCAACAGTAGAAGTAGGTGAGAATCTGGCGATACTTGCGATGTTGGAAAAGAAGATGATGGTGTAGGTGGGCTAGTGATGTCGATGTAGATGTCAAGCTTCGAGTCTGATGACGAGCAGAACCAAAAGAAGCAGGGATGAATATCGAAAGTCGACAAGATGGTCAGAGAAATGCCCAGTGAACACTCGGTTGGAGGAGAGCGAGGATCAGGTCCAGACCAGGCCTAGGCGGGTGGGCTGGGATGAGAAGAAAGCAATTGTGCAGCAGATACAGCAGAGAGATCAGGAAAACCCAGGTGCCGGAGAACAATCAGTCGAGACCAAAGCAAATGGAAGCGACCAAAAGCCAGACTTGGCCAAGAGCAGAAGCAGAAGGAAGGGAGGATGAGGAGAAGTCTGGGCTCTGGGCTCTGGGCTCTGGGGGCTCTTGACTGGGGGGGAAGAAGAAGAAGAAGGCGAGAGATGAACGAATGAGGTTGGGCTAACGGGGCTGGGAGTGGGGGATCGGAGTTGGCTAGTCCCCTAGCTCAAGCTGAGGAAGAGAAAAGAAAAGGTATCCGCAGATGGTGGGGTGGTGGAGGAGAGAGGTGAGGGTTGAGAGGGTGGAGGAAGAAGAAGAAGTAGTAGTCGTAGTAGTAGTAGTAGTAGAAGAAGAAGAAGACGGAGAGGAAGAAGACGACGAAGAGAGGCTTGTGCCATCCACGGCCTTGGAATCGTTACTGCTTTCCATCTCAATCATGTGTATCCGTAGGATGTATTGGACAAAGTACTCTCTGTCTGGTAAGTAAGGTATGCGAGCCAGAGAGACCTGGAGAGAAGGAGACAAGGGGCAGGGAGTACGAATACCAGCACGAAGCAAACATTCATTGTACAAGAAACATTGAACCCCTCCAGGGCAGGCGAGACAAGGCGTCTGGGTCGCCGCACCTGTTGCGTACGGTACCTATGTACGCTACCTTGGACCTGTACCGCGCGTTCTCCCAAACCAGAGTCAGTAAGGCTCGCCGTGATGAATCAGACCTTTATGAATATCTGCTATCCGTCCTTCGTGCTCAAGGTGAAAATGAAGTAGGTGAACACAGGAGAGTGCTGGGCATTTACTTTTGGGTACTTGAGTGAGTGACAGGTAAGAAAGGCAATCTGACTGACAGCGCAGGAATTCTGTTTTACTGGACAGGAAATGCGCACAAGGAAAAGAACTCAACGTCTCACAAGCATGGCTCTTCTTGCCTGTCGTACTCCGTACACGGTATGAAATTAGGAATACCTACGTTCTCGGTGCAACGCGAGAGACCTTGCCTTCCTCTGTCTCCCCTTTTGGTCCGTTGTGCGGTCTCCTTCGCTCTCCTTCAGATCAAAGAGATGAGAGAGAGAAAAAAAGAACAACTTATGTGTAGCTGAATACGTACCGCGGTACCTGTTGGCGTCGGCGAAGTACATGCGAGACAGGGGTCGAGTACCTGGCCCGTCCATGTTAGTCCCCGACTCGTCGAGGAACTTGCCCTAATTGGTAATTGGGTCTTTCCGCTCTCGTCCTTGTACCCTGCCTTTGTGTGCGATGGCCTGAAGAACCGTTCGAGGTACCCTGCAATGAGCGCAAGAGTCTCAACTTTTGAGCCTTTTAACGAAGCGAAACGAAACGAGACGTGGGAGGGAAGATGAACAAGCAACAATAGTTATCTGATTGATAAATAGAAATGCGTGAGTGCTTGTAGTCAGCAGATGTTCATAAGCGATACTCGTTCAAAGAGCAGAGAAGCGTAGACAAGATTGGTGGTATCAGGTATGCTTGGGTACGGATACACCTGTCGACGTCCGTTCATCGCACAAAAGTAAGTAGGCACGCAGTAACTTCTTTCTCTCCAGATCTCCATCTTCTCATCCCCACTCCTTCCCTCTTCCGACCCCTCTCGGATGTTGGACGTAGGTAACCTCCACGTCCTTCATTTCGTTCCTTATTCCCATGTTGCCATCTCATCCCAACCTCTCACCTTCTCCAAACACCGACGGGGTTTATCATCGCTACAAAATTCCTCCCTCCCCCGCAGCTTTAGTCTCGGCGAAGCCTTCCACCATGCTTCCATACCTCTTGGAGGATGATGACACCAACGACTTGTTAGTCCACCTGCATTACGGATACAAAGTTGTCGTTTCTTTGTGGCTGTGCTGTTTGTTTCGCTTCTGTTGGCCCCCTGGTGGTGGGCGGCTAAGCCCTGCAGGCGAACAGGCAGGTCATCATCGTCAATTCGCAGATTTGCTCCCGCCCACTGGGCCAGTCATCCTCCAGAGTCCATGAACACAAGATTGAAAAGAGAGAACGGCAAGTGGAGCAAGGAGAGGACATGGATGGTGGTGGATTCCCCGCGACAACACGTGCTCACCTGTGGATTTGTTGGACAAGGCACCCCTCTCGCCCATTGGACGGCTACCTTACTTTGGTGTAGCTCGAAAGACCGCAGTTCTCGTTCCATTGCTCTACACACTACCGAGTACTACAGTCTAGAGACTACACTAGCCGGCCCGCCCACGTCTCGATGCAGTCACCATGCTGTTCCCCTTCCCAGGCCCAGCATCGAAAGCGGTTGGTGTGTTGTCGGCGCCCGCCGCTGCCAATAGAAACGGCGGCTCCGCTAGGCAAAGAGTATCGACGCCCTAAGGGTTGCCGTTTCGGCATCTGCGACTACACCGAGGCCGGACCGGCGAGCTTACCAAGCGGGCTCTTAAAATACCCTGTATTATGGAAGCAATCCACTGGCTGAGGAGTGTACTACGTATCCGTACAGAGTAATACCAATAACATTACGTCTCAGCCAGGACCGTTCATCCAAACCCACGGGAAAGATATACCAAAGACTTTCTACAAAGTACTCGAAGGTTGAGGGAGTACGAACCCCTCATGTACCGACAATCCAAGCAAACAAACATAGGTTCCTAGTTGAGAATTGCTCCGAAACAGACGCAAGACTGGGGGACCAGACTATCAAAGCCAGGTGACACAGTCTCGGAGACTCTTCACCCAGTACTTATGGATGATTTGCTGCTGCTTCCATGTACCTCCCATGTAAGTAATGCATGTGTCTGTATCAGGTCCGGCGACCCAACATCGGCAAAATGCCTCCACGCCTGCGCCTCTTTCCTCTTTGGCCCTGCGAGTCAATAACACGCACTTACACGCCCCGGGCCCTTAGGAGGAAACAGCACCGTTGAAAGCAAGCAGATTGGCAGTACCCTGAGGATCCCGAACCACACCTTCGACAGCAAGCTCCCTCACCCTCGCAAACACCTCGTCCGGGGTAGCCAAACCCTCCTGTTTGCCTCTCAGGTACGCAATCAGACCCGTTACGTGCGGGACAGCCTGCGAGGTACCCGAGTACACAGTCGTGCCGTTGTCGAGCCCGAGCGAGCGCACCGCAACGCCCGGCGCAAACACCTCCACCAGGCTGCCAAAGTTGGAAAAGGACGCCCGGGTCCGGTTCCAGTCCGCGGCCGCCACCGTGAAGGCGCGCGCCGCCCGCGCGGGCGAGCGCTGGCTGGCGTCCTGGTTCAGGTTTCCGGCCGACACGACGGTCGGGACACCCAGGTCGTACGCTGCGTTGACCGCTTCGTCGAGGGCGGAGGCTGTTGTGCTTACTGGGAACCCTGCAGCAGGAAACCGGGGGAAGGTTGCGTGTTAGTCCAGATTCCAGGGGGTGGGGGGCGCAATATTGGCTTGCAATTGAATTTTGGGGGTTCTTACCAAGACTCATGCTGATGACAGACTTGGCGAGGCGACCGGGGGTATCTGTGATGTTGTTGACGGCCCAGTTGTAGCCATCGAGGACCGTTGCGACGCTGCCGGTGCCCTGTACCCGAAAGTCAGACTTGTTAGACTTGGTAGGTGGCTTTGATCACCAGTCACGCTGTAAGAGCAACATCCTGGGTGGTAGCAACCGGAGAACGAGGCACAGGCGACTTACAAGACCAGCAAGGACTTTAACATCCACAACCGTCGCCTTCTTCGCGACCCCGTACGTCTGGGACCCAACCGTACCAGCAACGTGCGTGCCGTGCCCGCCGAAGTCATCAAACTCTTCGTCAGGCTGCGAACTGTATCCCTTCACGGCGTGGCCCGCGAAGTCAGGGTGGTACACCTGCACGCCCGTGTCGACGATATACGCAAAGGCGCCCTCGCCCGCAGAGTCATCATAGGTATAAGGTTGACCGTCAGACGAGCTCGACAGTTGATTCAGCGACGATAAACTCGCCAGCCCCCACGGCGCTGCATCCTGCGTGACGAGGGCGTCAATTTCCACGAGGCGGTTTGGCTCGACCGACGCCACGGCGCCCTCGACGTCGCCGCTGAGGATCTCGGCGAGCGTGGCCTCGTCAAAGGAGCCCGCGTAGGCGTTGAAGGCGCCGATGGAGAAGGTCTTGCTGATGCCGCCTGTGGGAGTGGTGTCGCGCCGGCGGCGGGTGTGCACGGAGGCGGCGCGGGAGAGGTGGGACTCGATTTGGGAGCGGGCGAGGCCCGGTTTGAGGGAGATGATGTACTCGCCCGGGATGATGCCGTCCACGGCGACGGAAGCCGGGGCGGGAGCCGGGGCGGGAGCGGCTAGGGCCCGGAGGCCGAGCGTTAGGAGGACTGCGGTTGCGCTGATGACGGGCATTGTTCACTGGCGAGCGATACTGGCAATTACATTGATATCTGCAATTCCTTCAATATTCTATCTACTCTTTATACTTCTATACTTCAAAGTCAACGCAATCATGACATTGATTCTACAGATTCCATCATCGTATACGCAGAAGAGCCAAGACGAGCGCCTGTGGGGTTATCTGACTTTGAGCTTCTCAAAACTGAAGGTCAAGACGGCGATGCAACATCGCCAGCACCTCGTAGATGCGCGAGCAAGGCATGAGCAGGGCATATGAGGCGGGCATTTATCCCAATGAGGCATGTTGTAGCTGGGCTCGCCATGACACGATGCAATTGCGATGCCCGGGTGAACGTTTTTGCTTATCTCGTGGGGGGCCTGGAAGCATTGGCGTCGTTGGCGATTCAGCACTCTTGAGGTGAGGTTCTACAAGTTTATCGCATCTGTAATACCCCGGATTGATACGGACCGGAGGAGAAATCACTTCTACCTGCTTTTCCCTGGAGGTGACCTCCGAGGATGAGAGATAGAGAGAGAGAGAGAGAGAGAGACAAGACAATCACGGGAGCAGGAGGTAGTCTCTCTTGGCATGCAAGAGCGCGCTGCAGCTGCATGTTTCTATCACCATTCCTCGTATCGCCAACGGGCAGCAGCACCAGTCGAGCAGGAGCAGAAGCAGTGGCCCGAGCATTTGTCAGTTCAAGTTGCAGGAAACAAGACCCGACGCACGCGGCCCGTCTCGACGGCGCTGTGTCACTGTCAGGCGAGCGTGGCAGG